AGAGTCGTGTCAAACTGTCGCATATGCGCACATTGAAGTCGGGTTGAAGATTTGGTTTTCACACAGGTTCGACGAGGAGATCGAGTCCGTCCGGCGCCTGTTCCGCGCGGTGTCCGGCGACGGCGGCGAGCATCTCTCCATCGTCGACTTCGGGCGCGTCATGGCCGCGCTCGACATGCCCTTCACGCCCGACGTGCTCTTCCCCATCTACGACCGCACGCGCGCGGGCACCGTGTCCGCGGAGGACTTCGCGCGCTGCGTGACGGCCGTGCGCCGGGCCATGGTGTCCGACGACGCCGAGACCTTCCCCCCGGGGAGCCCGGCCTACGAGCACGCGGGCCTGGCCTTCGACGCCTACCACCGCGCGCTCTCGCCGCCGCGGCTCGACGGCGCGGGCCGGCCCGCGATCACGCCGGACCACGTCGCCGCGGCCATCGCGGCGCACAACGCGGACCTCGCGGCGCGCCGCGCGGCGGCGCCGGCGCCGTCGCAGGGCAAGACGTCGCCGCGCGGCGGCCGGCCCCGCGCGGACGTCGACGCCGTCGTCGCCGCGTCGCTCCTCGCGCGCGCGGCGCCGGAGGCGACCGACGGCGTCGACCGCGAGACGTTCATCGACGGCGCGATCCGAAGGTGCCCGCTGCTCTTCGGCGTCTTCTTCCTCAGCGTCAGCTACAAGATGGAGCGCCTCTTCGAGCGCGACGCCGCGCCCCGGGGCGGGCCGAGCGACTCCTTCGGCCCGGACAGCGGCGTGCTGGAGTAAGGCGGCGACCTAGGCCGCCGCCGCCGCCGGGGGCTCCGCCGCCGGGGGCTCCGGCGGGACTTCCGTCTCCGGCTCGGCCGCGGGCGCGGGCGCCGGGAGCTCGGCCTTGCAGAGCGCGAGGAAGTGGGCCCAGCCCCGTGTGACGTCGTCGTCGGTCGCGGCGACGTTGCCCGGGCCGGCGCTCCACTCGAAGTAGGACCAGGTGCCGTCGCGCGCGTGGCCCGGCCCGCGGAGTTTGTTCCAGAGGGTCACGCCAGTGGCCGCGGCCGCGGCCGCGTGGAGCCGCTCGAGGTCTTCCGCGCGGCCCGGGAGGTAGCAGTGGACCATGGCGCTCTCGGGCACCGGCGGGTCGAACTCGACGGCGACGCCCGCGTCCGCGGCCGCGGCGCTGACGACCGCGACCATGGCCCGGAGCCGCTCGAAGCGCGGCGCGAACGCGCCCGCGCTTTTGGCGAGCGCGAGCTCCGCGGAGAGCGCGAGGGGCCCGGCCGTGTGGAGCTTGCCGCCGTGGATGGCGACCTCGCGCCGCACCTTGGCGACGATGGCGGCGGACCCGAGGACCATGGCCGACGCGAGCGCGCCGACGCCCTTGTAGAAGGACACGTAGACCGTGTCGAAGAGCTCCGCGAGCTCCGAGAGGGGCACGCCGTAGAAGGGCTGGACCTCCCAGAGCCGCCTGCGGGGGCGGCGCGTCGTCGCCCGCGGAGACGTTCTCGAATGCTCTCGTCGACGTCGCGCCCGGTCCCGCGCCGGCGCCGCGCGCGCCGTCCATGTGCAGGTGCACGCCCCGGCCGCGCAGGTAGCGCGAGATCTCCTTCAGGTCCGCGAGGGACGGCGCGCCGCCGCCTGCGGGCGCGCGGTGTCTCGCGCGCGCTCTATGGCGGCCTCCGTTTCCTCCGCGCGGGCCGCGCGCCGTTCATGCGCTGCGGGAGCTCCAAAACGACGGCCGCGTTGCGCTCCGCGCCGGGCACGTAGAAGGCCGTGACGACGTCCCGGAGCTGAATGACGCGATCGAAGGACCCGAGGGCCGCGGCGTCGAAGTCGGGCAGGTTCACCGCCGCGTGCCGCGCGAACTTCTTCGCCTGCTCCGCGCCGTCGCGGAGGCAGTCCTGGTGCACGAGGTGGCTCGTGCCGTGCACGAAGACCTTGGGCTTGGACCCGAGGCCGTGGACCCAGGTCGCGGCCCGCAGCACGCTCTGCTGGGCCATGGTGCCCGTCGCCACGAAGAGGCCCGCCTCCTTGCCCAGCATGGCCGCGACCTTGGCCTCGAAGGCGTTCAAGCCGTCGCCGGCGCCGTAGGTGTCGAAGGCGTAGCCCGTCGCCTCCGCGGCGTCGGCCAGCGCCCGCAACTGGTCCGCCGCCGACCCGACGGGCAGGTGCTGGGCGCCCAGGTCGATCGTTTTCTGTGAAGCCATGCTCTCTCTGATGGGCTGCCGCGACCTCAACATCATCAGAGATGCCGCTCGTATCCCTGAGGCACTTGAGGCTTGCCTCGCCACGCATCGACAGCAGCGCTGTCGCGCAAACCGCGGCGCCGCCGCTGCCCCCCACACATCCAGAACACGATGTATTCCGTCCACAGCAAGGGCGAGATCTGCGACTCGCGCGACATCAACTCGCCCTTCCGCTACTGCCACATGGCGATCCAGTGAGCCGCGGCGCGCGCGAAGAACGCCAAGCTCCGCCGGGGCCGCGTCCACGCGCCCCTGGCGCGGCGTGACGCCGCCTGGGTCGTCGAGGTCGCGGCGGCGCGCGCCGCGGAGCGCGTCGCGGAGGCGCGCGCGGCGGCGGCGGCGGCGGCGCTCGCGGCCTTCCGCGGCTTCGCGTGCGCGGCGCCGATCCCCGCGGCGGCCTACGCGTTCACGACGGGCGCGCCGGCGACAACGGAGGTCGTTGTGGGCGCTGGACTCGTCGCGGCGCCCGACCGCGCGGCGACGCCGCTCGTGCCCGCCGCGTCCGCGAGTTCGCCCTTGATCGTCCTCGGCGACGAGCACTCGCTCAAATTCCACGGCGAATCCTTCGCCGCGGGCCTCGAGCGCCTCGGCCACGTCGTGAAAGTGCTCGCGCTGGCGGGTGACGCGTCCCTCGGCGCCTACGCGGCCGCGGCCGACGCCGTGCTCTCGGCCGGCATCGACAAGCACTCGATCCTCTTCGCCGTCGGCGGCGAAGCCGTCTGCGACGTCGTCGGCTTCGTCGCCGGCACGCTCCACCGCGGCATCGGCCTCGTCCACGTGCCGACGACCCTCGGCGCCGCCGCCCGCGCCGCGTCGTCCGTCGGCCACGGCGTCGGCGCGGGCCGCGCGGTGGGCTTCGACTGGGCGCCCCTCAAGGTCGTCGTCGACGCCGACGCCCTCGCGGCCAGCCCGACCTTCGCCGCGGACGCGGCGCGCCTCGCGCCCCCGGGCTGCGACGCCCGCGACGCCGCGAGCCTCGTCCGCGCGGTCGTCGAGCTCCACCTCCCCCGCGCCTGAACACTCCCGCGGCGCGAAGACCCTCTTCCCCGCCCGCGCCCCCCATCACGAAGCCGGCTTCTAAGTCGAGTGCTATCCTTACACGGGGGGAGTGGCTAAACTACGCGCAGCGGCGGCTCGGGCTTCGCGGCGGCGGTGATCGTTTCGTCTATTCTTTCGCGCGCGCGCGCTGTTCACGGCCACCAGCCGCGCGCGCGGAGGCGGTCCTCGACCGTCGGGCGGCCCGCGGCCCAGCGGATCCACTCCCGGACCTTCGGGAACTCGTCGCCGCGGCAGCGGGGCGGCGGCGGCGGGCCGGCGAACCACTCGGTCCAGCGGGGCGGGCCGCGCGGCGGGACGGGCTCGGGCCCCGCGGCGGGGCGGCGCTCGGTCTTGGCGTCGGCTTCCCGCGGGAGCGCGACGATCTTGACGGGCTCGAAGCTGTTCATCGCGCGCGCGACGTCGCCGTCGCCGAGGAGTTCGACGAGGGCGCCGTGCTTGAGGGCGTAGAGCGGACCATGGGCGACGTCGTCGCCGTAGAGGGCCGCCATGGCGCCGCGCGCGCACGCGAGCGTCGGCCGTTCGAGGCGCGCCGAGCTCGCGGCGCCGCCGAAGCAGAGCGTCGCGAGGTTCCCCGCGGACACGGCGACGGCGACGACCGTGGCGTCGGGCGCCCAGGGCTCGCCGGCGACGACGGGCGGCGCCGTGGCCGCGGGCGAGGCGATGGGTTTTTCGGGGCTGCCCGAGGCGATGGGCGCGTCGGGGCTCGGCGGCGCGGCGGGGCTCGGCGGCGCGGCGGGGCTCGGCGGCGCGGCGGCGTTCGTCGTTGCGGGCGGCGCCTTGGCCGTCGCATCATCATCGTGCTCGTACGTGATCTCGGTCATCGTGGCTGTGTTTTGAGTCGGGGCAGCATCGCGTCGAGAGCGGTTTCTCATGTTCGCGGAACGCGCTTTATAAATCACAGCTCCAGGCCCGGCGGCGGCTCGAGGCCGAGGAGGATGTCGACCGCGGCGTCGTCGTCGAAGTCCGGCGCGAGGAGCTCGGGCTTGAGCGTGCACCAGCCCTCGAGGCCCGCCGCGGCGACGCGCACGCGCCACGTCGCGGCGCCCTCCTTCGCGAGGCCGACCTCGCGGGGCTCGCACGTCGCGCCGCGGGGCGCCGCGCCGACGCGCGGCGCGTCGAGGTGGACGGCGCCGCGGAGGAGGACGCCCCGGGGCCCGACGACCGCGAGCCGGCCGCGCCCCTCGGCGACGGCGCCGAGCGCCGCCTGGCGCGCGCGCCGCGCGTCGGCCGAGTCGAGGATCGCGTCGCGGTCGCCGCGGCCGCCGCCGCGGTCGTCGCGGCCGTCGCCGTCGCGGCGGAAGAGGGCCCGCCAGCGGCGCACGTCGGCCGCCCGAAGGAAGGGCGACCTCAGCAGCGGCGCGAGGAGCGCCCGGAGGTTCGCCGGCACGTCGGCCTCGGGCTTCGCGACGCCCGCGGACGTCGGGTTCCGGTCCGGTTTGCCCACGTGGCTCGTGTGGCCGTCGTGGAACACCTGGAGGAAGCAGGCGCTCCCCTCGGGCGCCTTGACGCCGTGCGTGAGCCACTCGCTCGTCTCCTCGCCGATGGCCACCGACGAGAAGCGCCGCTCGGGCACGTCGAGGCGGAACGCGTCGCGCCGGAAGAGCTGGCGCTCGCCCGTGCCCGCCGCGGAGTCGACGAACTCGTAGGTCCGCGTGTCGAGGCGCCAGCGCCAGAAGGCGCCCTCGAGGACGCAGCACTGCGCGCGCGCGTGGGCGCACGCGGCGACGAGCGTCGCGACGTAGTCGCGGCCGTAGACCGCGTCGTCGTCGAAGAGCGCGACGAAGTCGCCGCGCGCGCCCAACACGAGCTCGTTGCGCTTGTCGCCCAGCGTCGCCGCCGTCGTGGCGCGGTGCACGTAGGTGACCTATGTACGGCGCGGGTAATCGCCATCTCCCGTTCCCGGACGCGGGAAGGTCGCGCGCGGGTCCGTCGACGCGAGGGGATCCTCTGTAAAAAACGGCGACGGCGGCCCGTCCGTGTCGAGGACGAGCAGCTCCTTGGGCTCCCAGCTCTGCTGGCAGAAGCTCGCGTAGAGCTGGGCGTGGAAGTGGTGCCGCCGGTGGCTCGTCGGCGTCGTGCACGTCACGAGCGGCCCGCGCGCCGACGCCCGGGGGCCGACGCCGAGCGCGGACCCGCCGCGCGCCTCGTAGGCCGCGCGCGCGCATCCGACGGCTTCGCGCCAGGCGCGCGACACGGAGAGCACGTCCCCGGGCTGGCGCGTCGGCTCCATGATGGCGCTCGTGCCCTCGTCGCGCGCCGGCGGCGCCTCCGGCGACGGGCCGCGGCGGCAGAGCGCGTCGACGTGCGCCTCGACGAACTCGGGCTGCGACGCGTGGAACGGCCGGAACGCCGGCGGCGGCAGGCGCGCGTCGAAGGCCGCGATGGCGTCGGTCATCATTGTGTCCGGCGCGGCTGGCATCGTAGAGAGAGCTCTCAGGCCATAAGCATGTCTGGGCAGCCCTACTAAGTACTGCACTTTGCACTGCAACAACACCGCAAAAAAATAAATCGTAAGATTACCTGGGGCCGCAGTGCAGGCTGGTCGCTATTGCTCCCCGGCGTCGAGTTCACAATGTTACATCTGGGATCTCGACGGCACTCCATCTCCGCCGGGTGTCATCGTTCCTCAACCCGGCCAGGGCTCGCGTTCCACCTCCGCCACGAGCTCGTATTGCTCCCGGCGAAAGCACTCGATCTCGCGGCGGTCGCTCTCGGCGAGCTCCTCGAGAGCGGCGCGCATCGCCACCCCGTAGTCCTCGACGCTGGCGTGTCGCCATCCGGAGGTCGCGGACTCAGAGGCGTCGCGCTGGCCTCCAACGCCGGGCGCTTGTCGCGGGCGAACAAGGCGAACGCGCGCCGCGGCTTTGTCAGAGCGCTGAATTTCTTGTGGATGTCCTCCAGCGAAAGCATCGGTTGCTTCGCGTTCAGTTGCGGCTCCGCGATCTGCTCCGGCTCCGCGCTCTGATCCGGCTCCGCGATCTGCTCCGGCTCCGCGCTCTGCTCCGGCAGGGGATCTCCGGCAGGCGATCTCCTCCGGCAGGCGATCTCCTTCAACTTGAGCCGACGCAAGTAATCTTCCATTCCCTCAATCATTGCATCCAAGAAGTCCTTCCCCAGACGCTCGCCTCCGTCCGACTCCCCGAGGTGCTTCGCCACGGCACTCGGCAACTCCGTCAGGTCGAGATCCTCGGCCACCGCATCGTCCCCCGCGGCGAGGTGCCTCTGCTCCATGACCTCCAGGACGGCACGCTTCACGACCGCGTCGGTCAATGCCGCCGGCTCGGGCGCGACGCCCTCGTCCTCGTCCTCGGCCCAGTCCATGAAGCCCTGGGCGACAAGCTCCTGTCGTATGGCCTCCGTCAAGTTCTCAGCACGATCGTCTCGGCGCTCATCGCGCGCTGCGTCGTTGAGGTTTCAGACCCCCTTCAGGGCTGCACGGGCAGGACAACGTTGAGTTTTTCAAGACGAGCATCGAGCAAGCGAGCAAGAACTGGAGGACACTTCTCGTCGTTGGCGCACGCGTCCACCCCCTTCGCCATCGCTGGGTCCATCGACACCGTTGCAGACCGCGCCACGCCCTCCGCCATCGCCGGACACATTAGCACGATTAGCGCGATGATCATCGACGCGACGGAGTACGACGACAGCGACGACGAGGAGCAGGCGCTCCTGGACGAGCTCGCGGAGTGGAGCCGCCTCGAGGACGCCAAGGCGGCGCCCCGGGGCCGGCCGGCCGACGACGCCGCGAAGATCCGGACGAAGCTGCGCGTGCTGCGGGCGGCGCTCCGCGCGTGCACGAGCCCGCGGCGCCGCGTCGCGTTGCGCGAGCGCATCCATGCGGAGCGCGCGTGGCTCGACCGCCTCTCCGCGGGCGTCGACGCGAGCGCGCGGCGCGGCCACGCGCGCGAGCCGTCCAACGGCTCCGACTGGAGCTTCTTCAGCCACGGCACGACGGGCGAGGGCGGCTCGTTCCACGCGCCGTCGCCGCCGCGGCTCTTCCGCTTCAGCGCGGACCACGCGCGCCTCGACGGCGCGGGCGCCCTCGAGGCGCTCGCCAAGGACCTCGCGGCCGTCGCGCGCGACGCGCGGCCCGCGGGCCGGTCGCTCGAGGGCGAGCTCGACGCCGCGGCGACGGGGGCCGCCGCGCGGCGGACCGGCGGCCCGCGGTCGCTGTCGCTCGAGCTCGAGGCCGCGGCGGACGGCGTCCCGGACTGGTACCCGCCGTCGGCGCCGGAGTCGCCGCCGAAGCACCTCGCGTCGCACCCGCGCGTCGTCGACGACCTCGCCAGCGCGGCCTTCGGCCTCGACCTCGAGGCGCCGGCGCCGTCGCCGCTCGACCTCGAGGCGCCCGTGCCCGTGGAGGCCGAGGCGCCGGCCGAGGCGCCGCCGGCCGAGGCGCCGGCTCCCGCGCCGCGCGCGGCGACACAGGCGGCCGAGGCTCCAGCGCCGGCGGTCGAGGCGCCGGCTCCTCCCGCGCCGCGCGCGGCGGCTGAGGCGGCCGAGGCTCCAGCGCCGGCGCCGCGCGCGGCGGCCGAGGCGCCGCGCGCGGCGGCCGCGGCTCCGGCGCCGCCCTCGGCGACGTCGCCGCTCGACCTCGAGGCTCCGTCGCCCCACCGGCGCCGCATCATCGCGCCGGCGGAGGCGCCGCGCTCCGCGCTCGCGGACCGGACGAATTGCGGCACGCGGCGCCGGTCGGGGACCTACTAAGCCGCGTTAGTCCGGCGCGGCGTCGTCGGCGGGCGCGCGCGCGTCGCGGTCCTTGAGCATGGCGCCGAGCTTCCGGTCGTCGAGGAGCATCTGCCTGAGGTCGCGGTCGTCGATGGGCTGGGCCATCTGCTTGAGGAAGGTGCGCGTGATGGCGAGGGCCGCGTCCGAGGAGAGGTTCAGGTTCGCGTCGGTCATGAACTGCTGGACCCAGCCCGGCAGCTTCGACCGCTTGTCGTGGCGCGCGAAGCGCGCGTCCGCGAGGATGACGATGCCGTAGTCCGTCTTCGACCGGATGACGCGGCCGACGCACTGGGCCGTCTGGCGCAGGGCGTCGAAGCTCAGGAAGTCGGCCTCGCGGATGGCGAACTTGGAGAGGAGGTACTCGAGCCGCGTCCGGAGCACCGGCGACTGCGTGTACTGGAAGGGCACGCCGACGTTGAGCACGCAGCGGCCGTAGTGGCGGTCGAAGTCGATGCCCTCGGCGACCTTGCCCCGGGCGATGGAGAGGAAGACGGCGCCCCGGCCCGTGTCGCAGGCGCGGCGGAAGTTGTCCAGCGCGATCGTCGTCTCGACGACGTCCTTCGTCTCGACGAAGAGCAGCTTGTGCTCCGCGACCTTGCGCAGGACCCCGAGCTCGTCCCAGGTCGTCACCGTGCGCTCCATGTAGGAGTAGGACGGAAAGAAGACGACCATGCCGTCGGGCACGTCGCCGCAGAGCCCCGCCAATAACTGGCCGAAGTTCCGCACGACCGACGCGTCGTCGCGGCTCTCGAAGCGCGTCGACACGGGCTGCTGGTCCGCGCCCTTGGTGACGACCAATGGCAAAATGCAGGGCCGGAAGATGGACATCTGGAGCGACTCGCGCACGACGGGGCTGAAGTTGAGCAGCTTCGGGTAGAGCTCGAGCGGGCTCAAAGTACCGGACGTGATGACGACGGACCGGAACCGCTCGAGCACGGGCTTGATGGCCAGCGACGCGTCGAGGCAGGCCAGGTCGAGGCGCGCCTGGGGCAGGCCGCTCGGCCCCCGCGACGTCGGGTCCGCGACGACGGAGAAGCCGTCGTCGTACGTCGACACGATCGACGCGAAGTTCGCGACGTCGCCGAGCGCGGCCGAGTCCTCGAGCCCCGCGGCCTCGACGGTCCGCAGCAGCTGGTGGAGCCGCGTGTGGAAGAACTTGAGCGGCTTCGCGTCGAGGCCCGTCGCCTGCTGGAGCCCGAGCAGGAACGCCGCGGGCGACTCGACGGCGACGCGCGTCCCGGCGAGCTTCTTCTTGAGGTGGAGCACGAGCACCCGCAGCAGCCGCAGGAAGTGCTCGGCCTTGCGCACGTTGCCCGGCACGGCCTCGTCGAGCACGTCCTGGGGCAGCACGGGGCTCGCGCCGCCGAGCTCGTCGCCCGGGAGGCTCCCCGCGGCGCGGAGCCCCGACACGAGGCGGTCGTACTCCGCGCGGACCCGGCCCGCGTCCGACGCGCGGAGCGCGTCGACGCTCCGCGCCAGCCGCGCGACGCAGCGCTGGGCCTGGTCCAGGCGCCGCGCGTCGAGCTCCACGCTCAGCGCCTCGATGCAGATGTTGTCGATGTTGTGGCCCTCGTCGAAGACGACGACCGACTCCGCCTCCAACTCGCGGCTCACGAGGCCCGCGACCTTGGGGTCGAGCATGTACTGGTAGTTGTAGACGATGACGTTCGCGTGGGCGATGGCGTGGCGCGCGAGGAAGTAGGGGCACCAGCCCTTGGCCTTGCCCAAAACCCGGAGGTCGTCGACGTCGTAGACGCCGTCGGGCACCTCGGCCTCCGTGCCCGCCTCGTCCCAGGCCTCGAAGAAGGGGCACTTCTCCGCGTCGTCGCGGCTCCGCGCCCACGACGCCGTCATCTTCCGGCACTCGACGTCCACCCGGTCGCGGTCCGCGTCCCGGACGACCCGCTCGTGGACGCACATGTTGCGCCGCGACGACAGGCAGAGCGCGAGGAACGGCGCCTTGGACGCGCCCACGCCGCGCTGCGCGTCGCGGTACGCGCGCAGGCGCTTGAGCTCCGCGAGGCACTTCTCCATCTCGGGCACCGTCCGCGTGCAATAAATGAGCTTCCCCATCTCCGGGTGCGCGTACTGGTAGGCCGTGATGAGCGTCAGCAGGCACGCCGTCTTGCCCGTGCCCGTGGGCATCTCGAGCAGCGCGTGGCCCTCGGCGTCGAGGGCCTTCTTCAGCTCGCAAATATAGGTGAACTGCTCGGGGTACAGCGCGTCGTAGGGGAAGAAGACGTCGAGCTCGTCGAGCTGGAAGCGCATGCTGTCGGCGTCGGTCGTGCGCGCGGGTTGTACCGCGCGCTCCTTGCGGTGGCGCTCAGGCCGCGGCGCCGCGGCGCGGCCGCCTGACTCGATACAGCAGGCTCATGCTGAGAGAGCGCTCTCTCTGTTCCGGCAAGTTGGGGTTCAAGGAGCCGTCTTTACCCGACCCACCAGAGCCGCGACACGCCCTCCTCCTCCTCCTCAGCGACGGGCGCCGGCGCGGGCGGCGGCGGGTCGTCGACGTCGAGGCCCTCCTTGAAGCGGCGGTGGAGCCAGGCGCGGAGCACGGAGAACAGGCGCGCGGCCGCGGCGCCGATCTCGCCGCGCGCCCGCTCCGCGAGCGCGGCCTCGAGGGCGCGGAGCGCGTCGGCGCCCTCCGGCGGCGCGGCCTCGTCGGCGGCGGCGGCGAGGGCCGCGAGGGCCGCGTCGCGCGCGTCGACGGAGGGCCCCCGGAGCTCGCGCTCCGCGACGACGACGGCGTTCGCCCGATGGACGACGTCGAGCGCGGACCGAGCAAAGGCCACGGCGTGGTCGAGCAACGCCCAGAGCCGCTGCTCCGCCGTGTCGCCGGGGGGGCGCGGCGACAGGGGCGGCGCGGGCGGCCAGGCCGCGGGGAAGACGCCGAGGGACCGGTCGAGGACCAGCGCGTCTCCCGGCGCGGACACGGGCCGCGGCGCGGCGGCGTCGTCCAAGCGGACCCAGAGCCAGCGGCCGAGGCGCTCCTGGGGCGGGTCGCGGCCGCACTGGCCCGCCGGCGCGGGGCAGCACTTCGAGGGCGCGCGCGCGACGACCGCGTAGGACAGCCAGACCGTGCCGCTGCCCTTCGGGTGCTCCGCGGCCTCGCAGTTCGCGTAGCGCAGGCCGTCGCCGGTTTTCGCGTCCATGCGCGCGTCGACGAGCGCCGCCGGCGCGTCGGCCTGCCAGCCCTCGGCGGAGAGCACGGTCCGCTCGAGGTCGTCGCAGGCGACGATGGACTCGGGCCGCAGGTCGCGGCGGAACCCGTCTTTCACGGCCAGCTGGCCGGTGCACGGCACGAGGCTCGGCGCGACGCGGCCCGTCGCCCAGCCCAGCGTCGACCCTCGCTCGTCCGCGCCGCCGCCGACCTCGTGGAGGCCCGTGACCCAGCCGCAGCTGCCGTCGAGCCAGGCCCAGAACGCGAAGACGTCCACGGGCTCGCGGTCCTTGGACCAGTGGTGGTTCGCGACGCGCACGCAGAGGAGGTAGGGCAGCCGGGCGCCGATTTGGAGCGCCGCGCCGCGGCCGTCCTTGGGCTCGAAGTCGTTGTGGCCCGGGAGGGCCTGGCGGAGGCGCACGCGGCAGTTTCGCACGACGCAGAGCCGCCGCCGGAACGACGCGGGCGGCGCCGGGCGCGCCGGCGCGGGCGCGGGCGTCGTCGGCGCGAGCGCGAGAGGCGCGACCGCCGGCTTCTTCGCGACGGCCGGCTTCTTCGCGGCGGCGGGTTCGGCGGGGGCCCGGCGCGCCGCGCCCGCCGCGCGGCCGGCCGCGTACGCCGCGGCGCCCACGTCGTCGCGGTCCCGGAAGTAGCGCATCTCGAACTCCATGGCGACGACCTTGGCCTCGTCGTAGAGGACCCGGTACTCGTCCGCGCGCCGGTCCGCGGCCGCGGCCGCGCCGTCGGTCGCCGGCGTCCGTCGGAGCCGCGCGACCTCGTCTTCCGCGTCCGCGAGGTCCCGCCGGAGCCGCCGCACGTCGTCGCCGTTCGACGTCGCGGCCTCGGCCTGCCGCTGCGAGTCGAGGAGGGCCTCGCGGAGCTTTTTGATCGTCGTTTGGGACTCCTCGAGCTGCTTCACGGCGTCGTCGTGGAGCTCGCGCGGCACGGCGTCGCCGCCGAGCTTCGCGAGCCGGAGCTCGTCGCGCGCGGCCGCGAGCTGGGCCTCGAGGTCGCGCGCCGCGTCGCCGCCGGCACTGCTCGCGATGGTCTGCTTCAGGAGCGCCGCGAGCTCCGCGAGCTCCGGCGGCGGCGCGGCCGCGACCGGCGGCGGCCCCGACGCGCGGGGCGACGGCTTCTCCGCGACGAGCGCCTCGGCGACGTGCGCCTCCTTCTCGCCGTCGTCGTAGTCGATGTCGTAGGTCCCGTCGCCGTGGTCCCTGGCGACGACGCCGCCGTAGGACCTCTTTCCGCCGCGAAACCGCGCCTCGACCTTCGCGCCGACGGCGAAGGCGCCGCCCGCGCCCGCGGACGCTCTCGGGCTCGGGCCCTCGACCTCGGCGGCGGCGCGCCGCAGCGCGTCCTCCACGAGCCGCGTCGCGGGCTCCGAAGGTGGCTTCCGCGTGCCGCCGAAGGTGTGCTCGACCGCCGAGGGCGTCGCCGGGCCGCCGGGGCCGGCGCCCGCGAGCATGCTCGCCGGGTTGCTGAATTTCATCACGGGGTCCGGCGGAACGTGTCGCCGGACGTCGTCGGACGCGCCGCGCTGCTCCGCGGCGAGGGCCGACGCGTCCGCGTAGGCGCCCGCGCGCGCGATGTCGACGCGCTCCTTGCGCGCGCGCTTCGAATTCGCGCGGAGCGCCTGGTTCATCTTGCCCAGGCGCACGAGCTCCTCGCGCGTCCTCCGCAGGTCCGTCTGGTCGCTCCGCTGCTTCGCCTTCAACTTGGCGAGCTCGCCCTCGAGCGCGACGAGCCGCGCGGCCTCCGTGGACAGGGACCCGGGCCGCGCCGGCGACCGCGGCCGGTTCGCCGCGCCGAAGCGCGCGGCGGGGTTCGCCGCGTCCAGGTACTGGGACAGCGACGGCGCGTCCTTGGCCTGGAGCGCCGCGCGGCCGAGCTTGCGCTTGAGGAGCGCGTTCTCGCGGTCGCGCCGGTCGAGCTCCGTCTGGAGGATCTCCAGCTGGCGGCCCCGCGACCCGCCGCCCGCGCCCTCGACCTTGAGGAAGTCGTCCTGGATCGCGACCTTCTTCGCGAGGCGGCCGGCCTTTTCTACAAATTTGGCCCGGTCCGCCTTGAGCTTGTCGTGGCGCTCGCGCAGCAGCTCGTACCCGGTCTTCCACTGGTGAGCCTCCGTCGGCGGCTCCTCGTCGGGCTCGGCGACGGCGCCGGGGGGCAGCTCCTCCATGAGCGCCGCGTCGTCGGCGCCGATGTCGTCCATTGAGACTGGGCTGCCCTTACAACATCGGGCAACCGACGATCTTCACCGACCGACGTTGAAGCGGCACTTTGCATTTTAGCGAGCTCAGACGTGCTCAGCTAGAACTGATAGTGGAGCTGCCACAAGCATGGAGGCCGCGGTCTCCCAGTCGTGCTCGGCCGCGGCGAGCCGCAGTCCGCTCCGCACTCGCCGCTGGGCGCTGCTCCCGCTCCTGCTCATCCCACAAGCCGCCTCCCTGGCGCCGAACTTCGACGCCTTCAACGCGGCGGCGACGGGCGCCTGGGCCGGCTCGCGCTACACCTGGAGCTCGAGGCCCATCGACGACCACGTCGAGCTGAGCGCCGGCGACGGCGACCGCTGGTGGCTCGCCGTGCCCGTGGCCAGCGAGACGGACGTCGCCGAGGTCATGCGGTCCTGCGGCGGCGCCGTCCAGGGCGTCCGCGCGACGACGGACGGCGTCGAGGGCCCGCTGCTGAACAGACAAGACGACGGCTTCGTCTACTTCGACGACGGCTCCTGGTGCTTCGGGCCGACGACGACGGAGACGCTGGCCTTCGACGTCTGTTTGAGCCACGGCGACCGGTCGCGGCGGCGCGTGCGCTGCGTGCTCGACGGCACGACCGTCGATGTCGCCGAGGTCGTCCACGAGGCGCGCGCGGGCGACGCGGCCGCCTCGGCGCAGGCGCTGCTCTCCGGCCAGCTCTCCGTCGTCGCGTCGGCGGCGGCCTGGGAGGGCGGCGCGACGAACGACGTCCTCGAGGCGCGCGCGAGCCCCTGGCTGCTGCCGCGCGCCAAGTGGACGCGCGCGCCGGCGGACGTCGCCGGCGGCGCGCCGCTCGTGCCCCCGGGCGCCACGGCGCTGCCGGGCGGCGTCTTCATCTCGGCGACGGCGGCGGGCGACGCGCTCGACGTCGCCGTCGGCTCCGTCGTCTTCTCCGACGACGGCGCGGGCGAGTTCGTCGTCGCGACGCGGTCCTACGAGCGCGGCGCGCTGGCGGCCGTGCGCCTCGAGCGCGTCTGCCCGCGCGACGTCGGGGCGCCTTAAAGGTCTAACTCTAGAGTCTACCTTAAAGGTCCGAGTCGAGCGACAGCGGCTCGGCGATGACGGCGAAGCGCTGGACGTCGAGGAGGACGGCGCGCGAGAAGCCCGCGAGGTCGCTCGGGAGGAGGAGCGTGAGCCGGTTCGTCGCCGGGTCGAAGGCGACGCGGTCCAGGAGCTGGAGCTCGTCGCCCTCGAGGTCGCAGAAGAGCTCGTAGAGCAGGTTCACGACGGCGCCCTCGCCGTCGATCTCCCACCTGCCGTCGACGTCGAGCGCGTCCCGGAGGACCGCGTCGTCGCGGAGGAGCGCGACGCCCAGCGCCGGCTCGTGGACGCCGCCCCGCGGCGCCGCGAGGTCGCCGGACCGGGGCGCGACGGCGAAGGTCGCCGCGCGGAGCACCGCGCGGTTCCGGAAGCGGAACCGCGGCGCCGCGAGCCGGAGCGCGCGCCGCTCCAGGAGCATCTCCGCCTCGAGCGCGACGCGCAGGTTCCGCGCGACGGCCGCGCCGCCGAGCTCGGCGAGGAGCGCGTCGAGGCAGCCCGTCGCCGCGCGCGACGCGGACCGCGCGGCGACGTGGACGACCGTCGCGGCCGTGGACTTCGGGAACGCGTACGAGCCCTCGACGGGCGCCTCGGCGCTCGCGAAGAAGTCCGGATGCATGGGGATGGGCGCCACGCGAAGGAGCAGCTGCGCCAGCACGCTCCGGAACGTCTCGCGGCGTTTGGCCTTGGCCGCGGCGTCGCGGCGCCGGCAGTCGCGCGGCGCCCGCGACGCCGCGGCGCGGCGCCAGCGCAGGCGCGTCACGCGCTCGTCGCCGGCCGTCGTGTGCGCGCCGGCCATCTCCCAGCCCACGGAGGCGAGCAGGAAGGCGTGGGCCCAGGCGTCGTAGGGCAGCTCCTCGAGGAGGACCGCGCGCGCGTCCGACGCGACGGTCAGCGCCTGGGCAGGAAAAGGGTGATTCAAGTTCTCTTCAACATGAGTGTTCCACGCGCGCGCGTCACGGAAAACACATCCACGCTTCGAGACCGGTCCGAGAGATGATCGCTCGTCCAAAAATCAGCCGAAACGAGTGGAAAGCGGCCGAGATCGGAGCCTTTGAAGTTGGGAATTTCGCTCTCTTGTGCTGCCCTGGTCAGCGCGTGCTCCGTCTGCGCGTAGCCGCCGTCGGCGACGAGCGGGCCACAGGCCAAAAGCAGGTTCCACAGCCCCGCGTAGTCGGCGACGTTGGACGTGTCGACGGCGTCGAAGGACCGCGCGGGCCAGGACCGCGGCGCGCAGCAGTCGCGGCTCGAGACGACGAAGCGCGCGCCGGGCTCGTTCGCGAAGGCGCCGAGGCGCGCCCAGGCCCGCGCGGCGTCGGCGCGGAACGCCGCCGTGCCGACGGCCGCGGCCGTGCCGAGGGCGCCGCCGGGCCCCTGCGTCTCGAGGAACGCGGCCGCGGGCCCGGGGTCGCGCAGCGTCTCGTTCGCGAGCCCGAGCGCCCGGAGCTCCGCGCCGTCGCCGCCGCAGCAGCCGTGCGCGCGCCAGGCCGCGCCGGCGTCGCGCCGGCCGCGGCCGGCGCCGGCGAGCGCCAGCGCCGCCTCGCGCGCGGCCGCGAACGCCGCCGCGCCGCCGGGCCGCGACCGCCGCGCGAGCCACGCGCGGCACGCGGCGCCGGCGCCGCAGCCGCCGTCGAGCGCCACGGCGCCGGCGAGGCGGCCGCGGGCGTCGAGCTCGTCGACGACGGCCCGCAGCTCGCGGTCGAGCGCCGCGGCCGCGGCCGCGCTGAGCCACGCGTCGCACCAGACGCGCGCGACGTCGGCCGCGGCGACGTCCGGCCGCCGCAGGAGCCGCAGGAGCAGCGTGTTCCGCGCGCAGACGACGACGTTGCCGTCGTTGAGCGTCACTTCCAAATCCGGCAGCCGCCAGGCGCCGACGGTCTCGAGCGCGTTGCGGCAGTCGCCGCTGGCCGCGTAGAGCACGCGCGCGCGCTGCGCGGTGGGATCGTCGAGCGGCGCGAGCGGCGTCGGCGTCGTGTTGCCGACGACGAAGGACCGCATGCAGGCATCGAAGAGCTTGCGACGCGGCAGTGGGAGGGCGTCGATGCGAGGCTGCATTTGCCGAGATGGTAGCAGCAGCGGACGAGGCCGAGCGTCAAGCCCGCTCGCTAGCGGCATCGTCAAGGTCGAGCAGTGAATGTTGCACTGCAACACTGTCAACGTTCCGCCATCGACGAGCATTCACGCCCCAACTCCTCGGCACTGCTCGATGGAGAAGTCGATGGAGGGTCCCCCGATCGTGTCGGCGCAAGTCGTCCCGGGACAAGTCGTCCCGGGACAAGTCGTCCCGGGACAAGTCGTGATGCAGCAGCAGCCCATGGTCGTGCAGCAGCCCATGGTCGTGCAGCAGCCCATGGTCGTGCAGCAGCCCATGATGATGGCGAAGCCCGGCCAGGTCGCGCCCGTGCACACCGGCGTCATCGTCAACCCCGTCCCCCAGAGCAACTACTGGCAGGGCGGCGAGCTGTGCGCCTGCACCGCGCCGCCGGGCGGCTGCAACCTCTGCTTAGCGGCCTGGTGCTGCCCCTGCATCGTCGTCGGGCAGCTGCACGACCGCGTGGTCCAACCCGGATCCTGCTCGTCGGTCGCGTGGCCCCTGGCCGCGATGATGATCGTCAAGACCATCATCGACTGGGGGGTGCAGATCGCGACCGGCATCGACATTAGTGGGCTCACGAGTCTCGTCACCGCGTTCGTCTTCATGTCCTACATGAACAAGATTCGCAAGGCGATCGTCGCCCGCGACGGGATCACGGACGCCCCGAACAAAGAGTGCGCCAATTGCGGCATCGACTGCGAGCATTACTGGTGCTGGCCGTGCGTCACATGTTGGATGTTCCGGCACGACCTCGTGACGCGCAGCCCCGGCCAGCCCTACAGCGACTGCTGCTCGCCGACGGGCACGCCCTACGCCAGCGTCCACGTCGTGTGAGCGGACGGCAACCTCCCCGCCCCGCACTTCGCCCTGCGCGCCGCTCGCTCAGAAGACCGCCGCGGCCCCCACCCTGTGTGCTGCTCTGCTCGAGGCCCTGTTAAGTGGACTTCGGGGAACTCACGTTACGTTCACGCCCGGCATGCACAGCAGCCCGAAGCACTCGAAGCTGCGCAAGTGCTGCGCGCGCACGTCTTGTCCGTTCGCGACGAAGTTGAAGCTTGCGGCATCATCAGAGCTCAAGAAGATCAGGCGGCTGGGGCCAATGCGCACGCCGTCCGAAGGTTGAGCCAGTTTTTTAAACGCCGCCGCCATGGACTTCGAGGAGCTGAGCGATTCGAGCGAAGGCTTCGACGACAGCGCGAGCGTCTCCGAGGACGACGACTTCCCCGGGGGCTCCTTCGCGGAGCTGCCGGACGACGAGGCCATGGAGGTGGCCTGGACGCCGCCGCAGACGCTGGACGCGGCGGCGAGCGGCCTCAACGCGCTCGTGCGCCTCGTCGCGGCGCGCACGGCGGCCTCCCGGGGCTTCGCCGAGTCCGCGAGCGACGCGAGCTCGCTGAGCGAGCTCGACAGCGACTGGGACGACGGCGGCTGGGACGACGACGGCGAGGACGCGGCCGGTGACGACGCGCCCTGGCCGCGCGCGCCGCCGCTGCCGCCGGGGACGCGCGACGCCGTCGAGGCCGAGTGCAGCTGCCCGATCACGCACGCGCTCATGCTCGACCCGGTGCTCGCGAGCGACGGCGTCGTCTACGAGCGCGAGGCCATCGAGCGCTGGATCGCGACGGCCTGTGTGGAAATCAAATCTTCAACCCGACTTCAATGTGAGCGTAATCGAACGGTTTGACACAAGCGCTTCCGCTGTGCTTCGAGAACTCGACGAGAGCAATCGATCCGTCCAAAAATCAGCCGAATCGACTTCGATTTGACCGAGCTAGAGAGGTTTGAAGTTTTTGCTGGACAGGGCGTTCCACTGGTTGATTTCCACACAGGCGACGGCGCTGGGCCGGGGCGCGCGGCGCGTGCTGTCGCCCCTCACGCGCGCGCCGCTCAAGACGCGGCGCCTCGCCCCCGTGCGGAATCTGGCGCGCCTCGCGCGCGCCGCGGCGGAGCGCGAGGACGCGGACGCGGAGCTCCGCGCGGACTACGCCGCGCGCTGCGTGCGCCGCGCGCTGCGCCGCCGCGACGCGGCCGCCGTCGTCCGCGCCAAGGCCGTCTGGGGCGGCGGCGCCTTCGCGACGGACGCCGAGCTCCTCGCGAGCGCCGAGGCCGCGGGGCCGGGCTTCTCGTGCGCGCTCAAGCTCGCGCTCTCGGGCGCGTCGCCGGGCTTCGCCGAGGCCCTGTCGCCGCTCCAGCGCTCCTGGCGCGCGCGCCGCTCCAAGCGCGCGCGCCGGAGCACGCTGAGCGCGAACGCGCTCCCCTTCTTCGCGCCGCTCGACTGACCGACCAAGAAAAGCTCCCGTCCCACATAGTCCCCCTGTCGCATATAACAGCCCCCCATGTCGAGCTCGAGCGAGTTTTTCTTAGACGGCGGCGTGTCTACGGCGTCGCGCCCTTGGGCGGGAGGTCGTCGAGGAGCTTCTTCGCCGCGGCGTCGGCGAGGGGCTGCCAGCCGAGGACCGCGTAGAGCAAGCGCCGCGCCTCGCTGAGGTCCGTGAGGTCGTCGGGCGACGCCGTCTTCGCCTTCTTCGACGACAGGAAGGCGTTGAGCGCGCCGAGCGCGAGCCCGGGCTTGCCCGCGCCCGCGAGCTGGTCGGCCTTCAAGCGCGCGTCGGCCGCCGCGCCCTTCTTGGGGTCGACCCACGCCTCGAGGTCCGCGAGCGCGGCGCCCAGCGCCGCCGCCTCCTCGGCGCCGCCGTCCTTGGCGAGGGCCGCGCGCGCCTCGGCCGTCCAGCGGAGGGCCGCGAGGAGCGCCGAGTACGACGCGGCGTCCGTCGCCCGCGCGGCCTTGGCCGATTCAAAGGCCTCGCGCGCGGCGAACGCGTCCTCGTCGGGCGCGCGCGTCGCCCGGTGCCGCGCGACGGCGGCCTCGTCGACGCCCGCGCGGAGCGCCGCGGCGGCGTCGACGACGAGGGACGCGTTGCCCGGCTCCACGGGCTGCGTGCCGTTGACGCCGTCGAGGTCGCCGTACGCCGCGCGCCACCGCGGCGACGCCTTCGCCGCGGCGCGCTCGAGGTTCCGCGTGGCCACCTCGAGCCTCTTGTCCGCGTCGTAGGCCGCGACGGCGTCGCCCAGCGCGAACAGGGCCTCGTCGGCGAGCGCGAGCTTCGGCGCCTCCTTCTTGAGCGTCGCCAAGTGCTTCGCCAAGGTCGCGTTCGCGAGCGCGACGGCGGCTTCGTCGTCGAGCGACGCGAAGGCCGCGCCGAGGAACGTCCGCGCGGCGGCGGCGTCGCCGGCGCCGTCCGTGGCGTTTTTCTTCGGCGGCTTGGGCTTGGGGTCCTTCGTGTTCTTGGACCGCGGGGGCACGTGGTACCAGAGCGTCGACGCCGCGCGGCGGCTCGGGCCCTCGGAGTTGGCCGCCTCGCGCGCGAGGGAGCACGTGCCCAGGAGCACGTCGCCCGGCTGCGCGTCCTTCGGTAGGTCCTTCTCCTTGGGCGGCGCGCCGTAGGCCCGCTTCCGCTCGCCGGGGAGGAGCTTGACCTCCTTCATCTTGCCGCTCGCGTCGCCGGCGTAGCCCGCGTGCTTGTGCGAGTAGACGGGGCAGGCGATCTCCTTCGTCAGCGCGTGCTCGAGCCAGCACTCGGCGTCGCGCATGGTCTCGAGCACCGCCGGGTCGTCGTGGCGGAGCGTCAGCGTCGCCTCGTAGGACCGGCCGCCCTCGCAGCCTTTCGCCGCGTCGCCGTAGACGCGCGCGTCGCGCCAGCCGACGACCTTCTTCGTCTCCTTGTCGCGCACCTCGGCGTGCTGGCCCTCGACGGGCGCGTCGTAGACGAGCTCGTCGCCGGCGAAGCGCAGGCCGACCGTGGCGGCGACGCCGTCCTTGGGGTGCGCCCACTCGTAGTCGAGCTCGAGCTCGTAGGCTACAGAATCTTCCCGGCGGCCGTCGCCCGCGGCCGCGGCGGCGTCGCCGGGCCAGGCGTCGCGCTCGCCGTCGACGCAGGGCCGGATGCGGCTCGCGAGGGGCCGCAGGGGCCGGCGCCAGGTCTTGAGCTTGAGCTGCGGGGAGACGACGACGGACTCGCGCGACCACGCCGGCAGGTGCGCGTCGAGCTCCGCGAGGGACCGCGTGCCCCGCAGCACGACGTCGCCGGCCTCGGCGACGCCGGCCTTGAAGGTCAGCGTCGCCTCGACGTGGCAGGGCTCGAGCGAGTTCCAGTCCTGGGAGAGGCAGACCTCGAGCGTCCGGCCCGGCGCCAAATCGGGGAGCTCGTAGACAAAGTCGTCGCCGTCGTGGAGCCAGGCGCGCTTGTGGACGTTGTGGCTCGCGTAGGACTCCTGCATGCCGAGCTGGACGCTGTGGACGTGGAAGAGGCGCCGGCCGCGCGTCGACGACGCGTCCGTCGGCCGGCACGAGACTTTCAACGTCGCCGAGCCCGCGCCCTCGGGCGGCGCGACGAACGCGCGCGCGATGGCGCCGGCCTCGAAGGTCTGGGCCGGGAAGGCCACGGTCTCCTGAGGCGGCGACGGCCGCACGACGGTGACGGGCACGACGAAGAGCGGCGGCGCGCCGGGGTCCGCGTCCGCGTCGCGGCCGATCACCTGGGCCGTCGCGGGCCCCCGGCCGACGGCGCAGGCCTGCGTCGGGTCGACCTTGACGGTCAGCGCCTTGCCCGCGTGGGTCAGCACGAGCTTCTCGCCCACGGTGACCCAGGGCGCCGTCGATTCCAACACCACGTTCCGCCGGAAGTCGGCCTTGGCCCGCGCGGCGACGAGCGCGTCGTTCTGGAACCGGGGCGCGACGGACACGGCGACCTCCGCGGGCGCCGACGTCTCCGCGAGCTCCCGCAGGTAGATGCCCCGCCCCGGCGGCGCGCCGGGGCCGCCGGGCGCCCGCGACGGCACCGCGACCTCGTAGCGGACGTTGGAGTTCTGCCGCGCGCCCGCGGAGTCCGCCAACAAGTCGAAGGCCGCGTCGACGGCCAGCAGGCCGCGGCCCTGGTCCGTCGGCGGCACGCCCGGCAACGGCGTCGCCGTCGCCTCGACCGCGCGGCGCACGGCGTCGGGCGTGTAGGGCACGCGCTCGGCCTTGAGCGCGCCGACGAGGCACGCGAGGGACCCGCACGCGTTCGGGCTCGACATGGACGTGCCGTGCATGAGGCGCTGGGGCTGGAGCGTGTACTTGGGGATGGACGCGACGGCGCCGCCCGGCGCGACGACGGACACGCCCGGCCCGCCGTCGGGGCTCGGGCCCCGCGACGAGAAGCTGTAGAGCACGCCGCCGCGGTGCGCCTCCTCGGCGGACCCCGGCGCGGCGCCGCCGGGGTTCACCGCCGGGGACCGCATGGCGTACAGGTCGCCGCACATGGCCGGGTTCACGTAGGCGCCGATGCCCAGGAGCGCGGACGACGTCGCGCCCGGCGCGCCGACCGTCGAAAGCGCCGGCCCGTTGTTGCCCGCGCTCGAGCAGAAGATGGCGCCCCGGTCGCCGCCGCGCACGAGCTTTTCGCTCAGCTCCACGAAGCGGCCCACGTCGCAGAGGCAGGCCGCCTCGCCGTAGGACAGGTTCACGAGGTCCACGCCGAGGCGCCGGCACGCGACCAGCGCGCGGCACAAACCCGCGCCCGTCTCCATGGTCCCCAGGCGCGAGTCGCCGATCTTGATGCTCACGATCCTGCAGGCCGGCGCGACGCCGCACTTGTCCGGGTCCGCCGCGTCGTAGGCGCCGACGATGGCCGCGACGTGCGTGCCGTGGTCGCCCGCGGGCACCACCAGCGCGACGACGTCGCCGCCCTCGTAGAACGACGCGCTGCACGTCAGCAGGTCCTCGTCGCCGAAGGTGCCCCAGCGGCTCGAGCGCTCGCCCGCCGCCGTCGCGACGCGGAAGTCGCCGAGCACCGTCACGTCCTCCGCGCGCGCGACGAGGTCGCCGCCCGCGGCGCCGTCGATCGCGACGCAGCGCCACGCGCCGGACGACGGCTCGCGCCAGGTGACGACGTCGAGCAGCGGCGCCGCGGACTCGCGGCTCGGCTTGAGCGCCTTGCAGCCGGCGTTGAGCGCCTCGACGCGCGCGTCGAGCTCCGCGGCGTCCGCGGCGCCGTCGCGGACCGCGGCGTCGCGCGCGGCGCGCGCGGCCGCGCGGAGCGGCGCGACGGCGGCGTCGAAGCTCGCGCGGTCCGCGGCGGCGAGGCGGCCCCGTAAAGCCGCGGGCCAGAGCGCGTCCGTGCGCTTCGCGCCCAGCCGGAACTCCATGCCCGCGGGGTTCTCGCACGGTCGCCCGTCGACGGTCCACTTCGACGCGTCCAGCCGGAGCCTGCGGCCGCTCGCGGCGTTGGTCACCCAGCCGTCGGCGGGCACCGCGACCTTGGTGGACACGTCGACGTCGCCGGAGCCCGTGGCGTCGATGACGTCGACGACCTTCATGGACCCGTCGGGCGTCGCCAGGAGCCCCTCGGCCGCGGGATCGACGCCCGTGTCGAGCACGGCCACGAGCACGCCGCGGCCGTCGCCGGCGGCGACGCGGCTCCGCAACGCCGGCACGCCCGTCGTCTCCTTGTCGATGACGCCCGCCCAGGGCCCGCCGACGCGGTCGCCGTCCCACTCGGCGTCGGCGACGGCGCTCCCGTAGCACGCGAGCGTGCCCGCGGCGCCGGCGAGCGCCGGCGCCTCCCAGCGGCCGCGACGGTGGCGCTTGCCGCGGGCGCCGGCGAGGGCGACGCCCGGGCGATGGCTCGACGCGCGCCGCGCCGCGCGCGGCGCGGCGATGCGCAGCGCGCGGCTCAGGGGTGCGGTGGCGGCGAAGAACATGGTGAGCGAAATTCGCATGCAAGCGGCCGGCGCGCCGCTCTCAGTCGACACTTCGGGGTCGCTCGAGAGGCTCGCGCGGTGCTGCTAGTACCAACGCGAGAGTCTCAATGGCCAGCGGCACGCACAAGCGTGGAGCACCGGCAATCGATTCGCGAGTTCGGCGAGGCCGTTCTTGCCGCATGCCGAGCCTGCCGCTTCACCTTCGGCGAGCGTCCGGTGCTGTGGCTTCGCCACAGCCCCAGCACCTCTCATTACAGCCCGATTGCTAAGCGCACCCCGGCACGTTCCAGCCGCCCCGGCCCGTTGGGCGAGGCCCCATGCTACCCTGAGTCGGGCCGAGCAGTTGCGGCCCTCTCGCGACGCCGAGGGCGAAGATACGCGACGACTTTCTGCGTCGCCTCGAGCTCGTGCCCCCGGCTGCGGGCTCTGCCGCGCTCGTCTCGCAGCGCCAAGGCTTGAGACGCTGTCAGGCCCTTCAGGGGGTCCATCGGCGTGCCTCGAGGCATTTTCGCCAGCGTCGGCGCCGGCGTCGGCGAGGCGCCGTCCGACGATCGTCGTCGGCTAAACGGAGCGTCTTCGAGAATCGACCTTCTCCGGCGGTCTTGGCAGCGCGGCGGCCCAGCGCGTGGTGCGTCCTCATCGAGGGGGTACTGGGCGCGCCTCGGAGTGATTTGGCTAGCGACGACTTCGAACTGTCCGAGCGGCCGCGCGCCGGCGCCGTCGGGCCGAAACGACGACGAGGGCTTCGCGGAGCACGACGCCGCCGACGGTGTCCCGGAGCGCGTCGCCGGCGCCGCGAGGCGCCAGCGGTGCGACGTCGCCGCCGACGGCGTCTCGGAGCGCGTCGCCGGCGCCACCAGGCGACGACCGACGCCTCTGATCGCGCGGTGGCGCGCGGCGCGCGCGCGCTAAGATGCTCGCTCTTTCCGAGGCGCGGCGCGGCGGGGGCGTCACCGACGCGTCGCACGGCGACGCGGCCTTTCCGAGGCGGCCGCGCGGAAGCAGAGGGGGACGGGTGTCGAGTTCAAGAGAGCTTCAACAAAACAAAAAATGTTTGCATCTATGTGACATCATGTGTATATCGATCGAGGGATCTCCCTCACGAGTCCCTGGACGGAATGCGCATATGCGCATCATGATGTAGTCTCGGACATGATGGAGCTCGACGAGCAGCCCGCGGCGCAGTCCGACGACGAGGGGCCTCCGCCCGACGACGCGGCGCCGGCGCCGGCGCTGCACCTGCCGCAGCTCCGCGAAATAGATGAAATAACTCTCAAGATCGAGCAGCTCCAAGCCGCGAAGCAGAGGCTCTTCCACTCGCTTGCGCCCGAGCTGCGTGCGACGAGCTCGCCGTCTGGCGGGCCGCCGTCGGACGTGCCGGAAGAGCCCATGGCCCCGGTTGGCACGCCGACCTACGACCAGTTGAAGGACGAGGTGGAGAACGGCGAAGTCGCGTTCCTCTGGGATGCACCCTGGCCCAGCGAGGCCCGCGAGCTGCAGGAGCGCGTGCTCGCGGTCTCGTGGGCCGACGGGAAGGACTGCGTCGCCGTCCTCCCGACGGGGTACGGCAAGACGTTGTGCTTTTCCTTGCCCGCGCGGTGGGGCTACGTCAAGCACAAGCGCGTTACCGTCGTCTGGCAACGCGTGCCGCCGGGTCGGACTGCTGGAGCTTTTAGGCGAGCAACCTGCGTCGCGTAATGCTCGGTCGGCGCCGCGGCGGCGGCCTCGTTCCCGGACTACGACCTCCGCTCCGTGCCGCTGCTCCCGCCCTGGAAGCTGAGCCTGGCCATGGCCGCGAGCCACCTGGCCGTCGTCGGCAAGTACGCCATGACGGAATTCCAGCGCCTCCTCATGACGATGCCGATCCACTTCTCGAACACGCTCGCGAAGACCCACGTCCTCGACGCGGGCTTCATCCCCCTGACGACGTCCCTCGAGGACGCCATCACCTCCATGGTCGCCCTCGGGATCAAGCCTAAGATGAAGAAGTAGCGGGGTTGGGCTGACTAGCAACGAATCGTAGTGTTACCTCGATCGGCGGCGGGCGCGAGTTTTGCTCGGCCCGCGGCGGTGGAGCGCCGCGGCGGCTTGGCGAGGCCGCTGAGCATGCCGTCGTTCTCGTCGTAGGTCGCGCCCTCCGTCCAGCTCGAGCCGTCGTCCGACGTGTCGACGCGCACGCTCGTGGCCCCGTACATGTCGTTCCCGTTCCAGTCCCAGACCATCCGAGGGCGCGGCGCCGCCGGCCCAGCGCGCGGGGATCGACGACGAACCGGCGGCACGCGTGCTGCCCGCTGCGCAAGACTGTGATCTTGGACGACGAGATGCCTTGGAGCACGCTGAGCAGCGCCGTCGCCGACGACCTGCTGTGTGCAGCGGCGGGTGATCGCGTCCGAGCGCGAGGCGGCGCGGTTCGACCCCCGCCCTCGGCAGCGCCGGCGACGGCGTTGAACGTGTCCGTGGGGTTCGATGGCACGTACGGCTTCACCGATGCGTCCTCGGCACGGCCGACGTCGTGGCCGAGGGGCCGGGCGTCGACGATGACGCCGCGTTCTCCAGGAGCGACTGACTACGGCGCGTCCCAGGTGCTTGTCGCGGCGCCCTTGCAAGAGCTGCGTTCCGTCACCGCGGGTTTCGATGCGCCTCCTGGATCGCTGCAGCACCACCATGTCGCATGTTGTCAACGCTTCGAGCAGCCCATCGATGGGCAGCCCCTGGACGAGGGAGCGTGCTTCAAGGTCGACACGTCGATGGATTGCGTTTACCCGGCTGTGCCGACCTTGCGGTGCCTTGTCCAATCATCGCTGGGGCTCATCGACACGCCGTCGAGCTGTGCTGCTGCTCGAGGCCGCCTGTTTAGGACAATAATGTCGCTTTTCGAGCAGGAGAACGGCGCGGACCAGGTTCCGCGGCGCTCCACGCGGCGCCCGCGGAGCTCGCAGCGCAAGCGCCCGCGCGACGGCGGCGAGGAGAACGACGGCAACGGCGAGGAGGACGACGGGGCGCGGCCGCCGCGAAAGCGGGCCGCGCCGGGCGCGGGGCCCGCGGAGAACGCGGGCCCGCGCGTCGTCGAGCGGGCCGTCCCGGAAGCCCGGGGCGAGTTCCAGGTCACCTCATACTTCAGCGACGAGCACCACGAGAAAGCGCGCAAGCTGCGCGCCGAGTCGGCCGCGCACCAGGCCGCGCAGCAGCGCGAGCACCAGGCCGCGCAGCAGCGCGAGCGCCGGCGCGACCCGGACGTGGCGTGGTCCAACGCCGTGGCGGTATTGGAGCACCGCGCGACGGCCGGGCCGTACTTCGGCGGCGGGCCGAAGTGCCGCGGCTGCGGCGATCCCGCGCACAAGAGCCAGACCTGCCCGTACGGCGGCTACGCGCAGACAGTCGAGGAACGCCGCCTCGTCTGGAAGGCGCAGACGCAGGGCGCGGCGCGGGCCTCCAGGGCCCTCACGGGCACCGGCGGCGGCCGCGACGGCGCCATCGCGCACCGCGAGGAGGTCGCCGCGGAGCGGTCCCGCGTGCCCGACCTGCCGCCCACGCCGGGCGCGACGGCGCAGCTCGACTCCGACCGCTGCCTCGGCAAGTGCGGCGACAGCTGCTACGGCGACGACTGCCCCTACGGCGTCTGCCAGGTCGCGGACGCGCGGGTCTTCGCGAGCTGCGCCGTCGGCTGCGACGGCGCCGCGTGCTCGCGCGGCAACTGCGCGGGCGTCGCGACGGACGCGCGCGCGCTCCTCTCCACGGTGCGGCTCCCCTACGGCTTCGGCGTGCCGCTCTCCGAGGGCGACTACGAGCGGCGCGCGAAGAAGTTAGAGGTGAGGAGGTCGTCCGCGATCCACTGCCTCGCCGCCGAGATGAGCGAGGCGTCGGAGGTGCTCAAGGCCATGGAGCTCGCGGTGATGAAGGAGCGCGTGCAGCAGACGCCCATCGAGGACTACAGCACGCCCTTCCTGCACCCGCTCCTCGACGACGTCGACAAGATCTGCCGCGGCTGCGGCGCGGACCTGCCCCTCCGCTTCTTCGTCCCCGAGCAGCCCGGGGAGCAGGCCGAGTTCGACCGCGCCTCGGCGACCTACCTCGCCGCGAAGCTCCCGGGGGGCGACCTCCCGCTCGACGACGCGCGCGCCTTCCTCCTCGACGTCGCCTTCGACGACTGCCTCTGCTGCCGCGACCTGGATTTCCTGCGGAAGCTGAACCCGTCGACGACCTACCGCTACCGGCGCGCGGTCCTCGAGGTCATGCGCCGGCGGCGGATGGGCTCGAACTGCAAGGGCGACGGCTGCAAGGGCGACGGCGGCGACGGCCTGTCGCTCACGGACGCGCGCAACTGGGCCGTGATGCAGCTGCATCACGGCAACGCCCGCGGCGCGAAGGCGCGGGACGCCGACGGCCGGACGATCAGCCCGACGTCCGTCGCTGCCTTCGAGTCTCTCGAGGCTTTGGTCAACGAGGTGGAAACCTGCGAGGCGCTCGTCTGCGCGGTCTGCCACCGCCTCGAGACGCAGGAGGAGTACGAGGCCGAGGTCCTCGCGCGGCTCGAGGAGGGCGCGCACAGCACCGACGGGCAGGCCGTCGAACGCCGCGCCAACTATTACGCGAAGAAGGAGTTCAACAACAGCTTCAAGCGCTCAGTCGGCGCCTGCGCGTCCTGCGGGCTCGTGGTGCGCCCAGGCATCGAATGCGCGTTCGACTGGGCGCACCACGTCGGCGCGGAGATCACCAAGTACATCGACTCTTTCTTCGCGAGCGGCATCATCAATGGCTGGTCGGCCTTCGACGACGCGTGGAAACTGCACTACTTCCAGTACATCGCGCGATGCCGATTGCTGTGCGCCAACTGCCACAAACGCCACGATACCGACGTGGCCAACCGGCGACGCACGGAGGAGCGCCTCGCGCGCATCTCGGGGCTGGGGCTGTGGCGCATGTGATAACTTGATTGCCGCGTCGCACGCGGTCGCCGGCGCGCGTCGCACGCGGTCGCTTCGCCGGCGCGCGCGCTTCGTGGAGCCACGTCCTCGCGAGGACGTGGCTGCGAGCATTCAACATGCTCCCCCCCCCCGGACGGACGCAGTCGGGCGCGCATCCCCTTCAATAACTTGGTCAACATGAAGGGTGCCGTCTCGCCGCAGGCACCGTCGGCGCGCGCAGCTCTCGCCGCGCCGCAGCGCTGCCGACCGATGACGGAGGAGCAGAAGGTCGTCGAGCCCGTCGAGGGCGGCACGGACTTCGTGCGCTACCACGATAGCGACGAGAGCGACGACGAGACGGCCATCGACGCCGAGGACCCGGCCGCGCTGGCGGCGGCGGCGACGGAGGCGCTGGAGGCGGCCATGGCCCAGACGGCGGACGCCGACGTGCCGGCCGAGCTGCACGCGCTCGCCGGCGCCGTCAGCGATACGCTGGAGGCGGCGTCCGGCGCCGACGATCCGCCGGAGCCGCCGGCGTCAAAGCCGGCCGCGAAGACGTTCTCGCGCCAGGCGCCCAAGGCGGTCAGACAGCCGAAGCCGTGCGTCGTCGCGCCGGAGGACGACGTCGGCATCAGCGCGGACGAGATCGGTCTGGTGGCGGGCGGCCTCGGCCGCCTGCGCGTCGCGGTGCTCGACTCGGACGAGGAGGCCGAGCCGTTCGTGGTCGGCCCCGTGCAGGACGACGACACCGTCATCGAGTCCTGGGAGGAGCGCGACGCCTGGGACTTCGTGCCCATCACGCTCCGCGGCGTGCCCGCGCGCCCCCTGCTCGAGGGCGAGCCTCTGGCCCTCGACGTGGATATAAAGACGACGCGCGCGTCCATCGAGATCCACCAGCCGAGGATCGACCTGATCCTCACGCCCATCGGGCGCATCTGCTGCTGCGCGTCGCAGCCCTGCGGCTGCCCGCGGACCAAGGACCAGCGCCTGCTCACGCGCGGCGTCGTCACTGAGGTCGGGTCCAACAGGACGAAGACGCGGTTCCGCGCCGACTTCGACCTCAAGCTGTCGCGGACGTACCTGGACCACCAGGTCACGGACGAGGGCCTGCGCGGCGTCGCCTTCGACGCCTACCTGCGCATCCGGAGCTCCTTCGAGGCCTACGAGCCGCCGCGGGGCGTCGGCGCCGGGCCCCGCGCGGACGGCACCTTCGAGTACACGCTCGACGAGGAGATCGCGATCATGGACAAGGTGCTCTGGCGGTGCAACAACGTCCCCCGGCCGCCGGACCGCGTCGTCGAGCTCGGCGCGGAGCTCCACGTCGAACGGCCCCTGACCGTCGCCGTCGCGCCCCTCGCTCCCGGCGGAGGCGAGTTCCACGTGGCCCTGACGAACGACCACGCGACGCTGCCGCTGCGGCTCTGCACCTGCGACCTGGGGAACCCGCGCTTCGTCCACGTCAAGGGCCGCAAGATGCCCGCGGACCTCGCGCCGGGCGACCGCTGGGACTTCGACGTCGAGGTCGTCGACACGGCGAACTTCACCGACGCCTACATCGAGCTCACCTTCTGCTGGCGCTGCGGCGACGAGGCCGCGGGCGGGCCCGACGTCGGCCGCGCGCCGGGCACGTGGGCCCACTTCGTCGCCCAGGAGGTCATCATGTGGACGTCGACGAAGCCCAAGAGGCCCACGCCCGACGACCCCCAGGACGCCGAGCTCCTGGAGATTCGGTAAGCGCGCGTTCGGGGTTTCGTGTCTTTGTTTGGCAGCGCGAGCACAGCGCACTTCATCGCGCTAGCGCACGTGAGTAGCGCCATTTGTACGAGGTAGGCCAGGACTCCTGAGCGTGCGGCGCGAAGTGCGGCGCGAGCGAGTTTGAACGTGTTGATGATGAACACAAAGTTTGACTTTTTCTTCGCGGTAGTGCGATGGGTCTTGGAATTGGCGCGTGAATCCGCAACAACCATGTCGTTCGTTCTCATGCCAGACGGCACCATCGGATTCCAGTTACCCGAAGGTCACTCGCTCGAGATGTACGGCGGCGCGGGCGCGCTTCAGGCGCAGGCGCAGGCGCTGGCGCTGCAGGTGTACTACAATCCGTGGGCGATGTACCAGCCCCCGTGGCCGCTGCTCGCCGCGCCGCCGCCGCCCGCCGCGCAGTGGCCGCTGCTCGCCGCGCCGCCGCCGCCCGCCGCGCCGACTCCGACGAGCGTCCTCGAGGTGCCCGCGGCCGCGGCGCCGCCGCCGCCGTTCCCCGAGCAGGCGCCCGCGGCCGCGGCGCCGCCGCCACCGTTCCTCCAGGAGGCGCCCGCGGCCGCGCCGCCGCCGCCGCCGTTTCCCGAGGAGGAGGCCGCGGCCGCGCCGCCGCCGCCGCCGTTCCCCGAGGAGGACGCGCCGGCCTTCGCTCCGGAGGAGGCGGCGCCCGACGACGCCGCGTGCGCCATCTGCGACGACGCCGCGGGCGGCGCGCGCACGCCCTGCTGCGGCACCGCCATCTGCGCGGCTTGCGTCGCGCGCGCCGCGGCGTCCGCGAACGCGGCATTCAAATGTGCTTTTTGCTTGGACGCGTCCCCGGCGTTCTACGCCTTCGCGCGCTCCGTCGGCGCGCGCGTCGACCTCGAGGCGCTGCCGGCCTGGGACGCCGACGCCGGCGACGACCTCTGCCCGGCGCTGCCCGCGTGCGCCGCGTCCTGCTGCGCGTGCCCGCACGGCCCGGCCTTCGACGCGGCGACGGCGCGCGCGACGCGGTCGACGAGCGCGGCGGTCTGGAACCTGCTGGCCTGCGAGAGCTGCGGCGTGTCCTACGCCCACGCGGGCTGCCTGGCGAAGCGGCGCCGCGGCGGCTTCGTGTGCGGCCTCTGCGAGTCGGGGGACGACGACGACGCGCGGCCCGCGCGGCGGCCCCGCGTCGCGACGCCCGAGCCCGCGGCGCCGCCCCGCCGCTCGCCGCGCCGCGACGCGCCCCCCGCCGCGGGCGCCCTCGCGCTCGCCGCCGCCGAGGACGCGCGCGCGCCCCGCCGGCCGCCCGCGGAACCGGCGCCGCCGCCGCGCCGCGCGCCGCGCCGCGCGCCGTCCCCGGCGCCCGCGCCCGCGCGGCCGCGCCGCGGCGCGCCGCCGGCGGACGTCGACGCGCTCGTCGCGCGCGACCCGCGCATCCGCGTCGAGCGGGAGAACCCGAAGAAGGCCGGCTCCAAGAGCGCGCTGCGCTACGACGCCTACAAGTCCGCGTCGACGGTGCGCGAGTTTCTCGAGCTCGGCGGCACGCGCGCGGACCTGCGCCACGACATCGCCCTCGGCTACGTCGTCGTCGTCGACCGCGCGCCGACGCCGCCGCCCCGGGCGCAGCGCGCGACGGCGCTGCCGTCCTTCGTCAAGTCGTGCCCGGCTTACCTCGGCCGCGCCGCCGCGGCCGTCGCGCTCCGCGCGGGCGCCGCGCCGGGCATCCCCAACGGCGACCCCGCGCCGGGGTGGCACAAGGAGATCATCCCGCGGAAGCACGACCCCCGCGAGGCCGACGTCCACTTCTACGACGCCCGCAGCGGCCGCCAGTTTCGCTCCCTGGCGTCGCTGCGCGCCTTCGTCGCGCCCGGCGACGTCGACCTCGACGCCTTCGACTTCCGCCACGCGGCCGGCCGCGCGCGCTGCCCGCCGGTGCCCGCGCGGAGCGAGATCAACGGCGCGCTCCGGGAGATCTGGGGCGGCCTCTCGAAGCGGGAGCAGGCCGCGGCGCGCGCCGCCGCGCCGGGCCGCGACGTCCCGCCGCACCCGACCGCGACGGTGCGCGCGGCCGAGGCCGCCGTGGACCGCACGGGCGGCACCGCGGAGCAGCGCGCGTTCGCTTCGCTCATGGCGGCCGTCTACTCCCACAACAAGACGTACTAGGCGCCGGCCGCAAGCACCCATGTCCCACAATAAGAACCCCATGTATGTCATCGACATTCTATCGACTGCGCGGCGGCGAGGCCTGCGGAGCCCTGCGCGCGAGGAATTGCGCGAGGCGCCTGGCGAGCCGCTGGCCGGGCGATCGCGCGAGGCGGGCGCCGGCGGCCGCCGCGCGCGAAGCGGGCGCTGGCTCGAGGCTCGAGTCGAGCTCCGCGAACTCTGTGACGTTCTGTGGCAAGGCGGGATGGGAGGCGTCCTGGGCGCGCAACCACCATCCCAAGCCACGTAAGCCGGCAAAACGCGCCGCATACCATGCGCAACAAAACCACAACAACGGCGGACGCGCTGCGCGCGCTGTCGTCGCTCCTCTGCGTCGGCTCCTTCGCCCTGTCGCGGCGCGACCGGGCGCTGGCGGCGGCCTGCGCCGGCGCGTCGCTGGCGCTCGCCGCGGTGGACCTGCTGCTCCGGCTCGAAGGGCACGACGGCGACGCCGACGACGCTCCCAGGCGACCGCCGCGGCCGCGCGCGCGCGCGCGGTCGAGCGACTACGAGTCCGACGCCGGTTCCGTCGCGACGGCCCGCGACGAGGCGCCGGCGTCTTCGCCGCCGAAGCAGCACGTCACGGAGCTGCTCGTGCACAACGTGAGCCACACGGACCTCGTCGTGTCCTTCGGCGGGCCCGACGACGGCTTCGACGACCTCGACGACGACGCGGCGCTCTTCGCGCGGCCCAAGTTCTCCCACTTCGCCGCCGTCTCCGCGGAGCTGCTCGACGCGGCGCGGAGGTCCGCCGTCGTCGCCCAGTGCCGGTCGCGGCGGCGCGACGACACCTGCGCCAAGTACCCCGTCGTGCCGTCGCTCGGCGACCCGGGCCGTGGCGGCGAGGACCGCATGCCCTGCGGCCTCGCGCTCCGGGGCGCCGCGCCCTGGTCCGCGGCGCGCGTGCGGAACGAGCTGAAGACGCGGTTCTTCAAGACGACGACGCTCCGGGACCACGCGGACGCGAACGCGAACCCCGACCCGGACCCGGTCGCGCCGCGCCGCGTCTACTTCCCGCTCCTCGCGGTGCTGCTGCGGGCCTGGCTCGCGTCGACGGACGACGGCGAGGCGTCCAAGGACCGCGTCGTCCTGCTCGTGTCCGGCGCGGGGACGCCCCGCGACGCGAACCGCGACGCGCGCGACAACTCGACGGAACACGTCGCGGAGCTCATGGAGCTCTTCCTCGCGCGCGCGTGCGAGGTCGGCGCGCTGCCCTTCGCGGTCACGGTCGTGCGCCTCCACTCCGAGGCGAACGTCTTCCGCTACGACGAGAATATTAGTTTTGTGCGCCACGAGCTCGAGCCCGCGGTCGTGGCGTTGCGCCAGACCGTCGTCGGCGCCGAGCCCGGCGACGACTGGGCGGACCGCTTCCGCGTGGCCATCTCCTTCGCCGACGGCGCGCCGGCGCGCGTGTCGACGATCCACAAGTCGCTGCGCCTCTACCGGCCGACGTGCATGTACGTCTGGCAGCTCAAGACGTTCTGGGAGCAGCGCGTACTGTCTGAGGACGACGTCGAGGTGCTGCCCTTCGAGGCCGCGGAGACCGTGCCGGCGACGCCGACGGCGGAGGCGACGGGCGACGTGCGCGTGCTCGTGGCCGAGGTGCGGCGCCTGCGGGCGGCCTGGGACGCGGCCGTCGCGGACCCCGCGGGCCACGACATGCGCGCGTTCTGGCACCGGAAGTCGCGCAAGGTCGTGCTCGCCGTGCTGCTCGTGCGCAAGGGCGACGGCGAGGCGCCCAAGGTCTACCACGGCACGAACATGGAGGTGTCCATGCCCACGGGGAGCCTCTGCGCGGAGCGGAACGTCATCGGCACCGCGCTCGCGGACGACCTGGGCCTGAAGCGGTCGCACCTCCAGCTCATCGCCGTGCTGGGTTTAAATTTACCACCACCGGAGAGCGCGACGGCGTCCGAGCCCTCCTGGCTCACGCCGCCGCCGTCGCCGTCGGCCCAGGCGAGCTCCGCGAACTCGCCCGGCGCCGGCTGGGCCGACCGGCGGCCGCGGAGCGGATCCGACCCGAGCCTGTCGCCCGCGTCCTTCGCGCGCGCCGTCGCCGCGGCCGCCGCCGGCGAACGCGCGCGGGACCCGCCGCGGCGGTCCCCGTCGGGCGACGCCCAGGCGAGCCCGCCGCCGTCGTCCGCGGACCGGTCGTGCCCGCCGAGCCCGAGCGGCCGGCGCCAGATGGTCCGCGCGTACCCGAAGATGCGCCACAGCGGCAAGAAGCGCGTCACGCCCGCGTCGACGACGCGCGTCGTCGTGTCAGACACCAAGGACATGAACCCGCTCAAGCCCTGCGGCGCGTGCGCGGAGTGGCTCCGCAAGATCACGGAGGTGAACCCGAACTTCAAGGTCGTCACCTTCACGGACGCCCACTGCCACGGCGTCTACGTGGAGCCCGTCGCGGGGTCCGGGTGAGGGAGTCGGGGTGTGTTATAGGGATGCGGCGGCGCAAGGGGGGGGACGGGCGCGCGGCGCGCGGCGCGGAGCTCCCTAGTGGAGCTTCTTGGGGTCGTGGAAGTGGAACTTGGCGGCGCCCGTCGCGTTCATGATGATGTCGAAGATGCCGAACTGGCCCGCGGTGAGCGTGCCGATCATGACGCAGCGCGCGCCGAGGCCCGTCGTGCAGAGCTTCATGAGGCCCGTCTCCGCGACGATGTTGCCCATGCGCTGGAACATGGAGCCGTCGCCGCCGGCGCCGCCCTTGTTGATCTTGGACAGGAGCGTGTCCGCCGGGTGGGAGATGATGGCCGCGGCGACGCCCGCGACGACGCCCGACGCGAGCGACACGCCGAGGTTGCCGATCGCCGGCGGCTGGTCCGGCGACGCGCCGAGCGCGCCGTAGATGGAGTCGGCGGCCTTGCCCTGGACGGCGAACTTGGCCATGGTGTAGGGGATCTGCTTGAAGAGGATGGGCACGAAGCCGCTGTAGAACGCGCCGACGAAGCCGCTCTCGGCCATCATCTTCTGCGCGCAGCCGACCATCGACTCCGCGTAGGACGGGTCGGAGACGAGGCGGATGCGGCAGGCCTCGTAGGGGCAGAGGAAGATGTCGGCGATGAACTCGGCCATGGCCGACGAGAGGAGGTAGATGGGCGTCTTGTTGTTCCACGCCGTCTCCTCGCCGACCTTGCGCGTGATGTTGATCTTGAAGAACTCGACGCCGCCGAACTTGAACCAGCCCTGGATGAAGTAGCCCTGGGCCGTGGGGCCCAGGCCCGTGAGCAGGCCCCCCGTGCCCTCCTTGGCGATGACCTGGCCGAAGCCGCCGATGAAGCCCTTGTTGTAGACGTCGGGCTGCAGCTGGATCTTCGTCTTCACGACGTCGACGGGCACGAGGCCGCCGTGGGTGATGGAGCAGCAGATGCCGCCGGCCAAAGCGCCGGACAGGAAGTACTTCATGTCAAAGGGCCCCTGGCCCATCACCATGTCCGACATGACGCTCGAACCTGCGGGCGGGCGGGTCGGTCCGCGGGGAATCCGGCGCTTCGACAAGCTGCGATGCGGCCCGTCGCCCCGGCGGGCGCTCCGCGGCGGTCGCGGGCGGGCCGGGTCGCGCGCGTCGGCCCCGTCCTCGGTCGCCGCGGCCGGCGAAGGCGTGAATCCTTTCTTTTGGGCCGGGGACCGGCGCGCGTCGCCGAAATCGCAGCTCTCCCGCGCGCGCCGCGGCGCGCGGGCGCCCGCGCGCTAGTCGAAGTGGCCGGGAAAAGCGGCGACGCGCCGACCCGACGAACCATTGCACGAGGACGCGGGACAGCACGGTTGTGTGTAATGGACGGAGGGCGTGGCAATCGCTGGCTGAGCGAGGCGGGTTTAGATTCATCAGTTCATCATCACCTCGGTGCCTCGACCTTTTCCTTGAACCAACGCGTCCGTCGTCGTCGCAGGCCCTGGAGCGCGCGCCTATGCCCCACCCCCAGCGAACGCAGACAGCGAGGCCGGTCAACAAAAAGCGAAGGGGCGGCAGGGCATGGGCGCGCGCGGGAAACGGCGGCGCGCGGCGACAGGGAGGAGATCCCGAGCCGCGCGGGGGGAGGGGAACAGCAGGGGGTCGCGACGGCGGGCCGAAAAGAACGCCGCGCGCGCCGGGCAACGCGCCGCGCGCTCCTCGGCGCCCGCCGCGGCGCGCGGCTCAGCGCGCCTGGAAGGCCGCGACGCGATCGCGCGCGCGGCGGATCTTGGCGAGGAGCTTGCGCTTGACCGGCGACTCGGCCTCGACGGGCCCGGCGAAGCCGCCGGGGAGCGCGGCCTCGAGCGCGGCGAGGGACGCGAGGCCCTCGATGACGAGGTGCGGATCCGGCACCGCGACCTCGCGCGAGAAATCGGGCGAGAGGCGCGGCTCCGTGTCGGCCCGGGGCAGGCCGGCGATCTTGGCGGCGGCGCCCAGGGCGCGCGCGACGTCGCGGTCGTCGCGGAGCTCGACGAGCGCGCCGTCGGCGCGCGACACCGCGTAGACGGGCCCCTCGGCGACCGCGGCGCCGTAGGACGCCGCGAGCGCCGCGCGCGCGGCGGCGAGCGTCGGCCGCGCGAGGGCGGACACGTCGAGGGCGCGGAGCGGCGCCGCGCAGGGGCCGAGCTGGGAGGGCGCGACGGCCGCGACGGGGCTCGCGGCCGGCCGGCGCGACACGGGCGACCGGCTCGGGAGGTCGATGGCGTCCCAGAGGGCCATCTCCGGCGACGCGGGCCGCCCGCTCCGCGCGGGGTAGGGCGGCGGCGCGAGGGCCGGCGGCCGCGCGAAGAACGCGGCCATCTCCGGGCTCGCGGGCGAACTCGCGGACGACGCGGGCGACCGCGGCGACCGCTTGGCGTCGCCGTCGAAGCCCACGGGCATGGCCGGCCGCTTCGCGCCGTCGACGACGCGCGCCTCGCGCGGCGACACGGGCCGCATGAGGCCCCGCGGCGTGCCGGCGCCGCGGGGCGACGGGCCGGGCGTCGTCGGCGTCCGCCGGTTCGCCGGGCGTTTCTTCCAGACGCGGCTCAGCATGCGGCCCACGGCGCCGCCCGACGACCGCTTCGCGCCCTTCGACACCTTCTTCCCGTGGGAGGCCATGGGGGGGGGGCTGCGGCGGCGGCCGACGACAGTGAACACAGCAGGGGACTTTGATGCCGAAGGAAGTCCCGCTCGAGGGCTGCCTTCGCGCCCAGGATTTAAAGTTTTACAGGAGGGCAAAATGGGCTCCCAAATAGCTCTACCTGAGGCGAAACGATGGATACCCACGGAGTCGCTTGTCTCGCTACGACGCGGGGACGGGTCTCGGCGCGTGGAGCCCGCTGCGCAGCATGAGCTCGCCGCCGAGTGCCTGCGCCCAGCGGCCGCCAGGGCTGCCTTCGCGCCCAAGGTTTGAGCTGATTTGCCAGAGAGCAATGGTGCTCTCCCTGCCTTGCTGAGGCGAAGCGCGATGGACGCGCTGAGCCCGCGGAGCAGCCGGTCGCGCTACGACGCGGCGACGGGTCCCGACGCGCTGAGCCCGCTGCGGCGCAGCATGAACTCGTCCAAGGCCGAGCGCCTGCGCCGGCGGTCGCGGCCCGCGGCGTCGCCGGCGGCCGACGAGAGCAGCGACAGCGTCGACTCGGCGCCGCGCGACGCGATGCGCGACAGCGTCGACTCGGCGCCGCCGGCCTACGACGAGGGCGTCGCCGACTCCGCGGACCTGGACGCGCGCGCGGCCGACCTCCTCTCGCGGTGCGACGCGCTACTCGACCGGCGGCCGCTCGCGGCGGCGCCGGCGGACGACGCGCCCGCGGCGCCGGCGCCGTCGGCCGTCGCCGCGTCCCTCGAGGACCTCGACCGGGTGCGCCTCGCGCCGCCGGAGCCGCCCGGGAGCCCCGCGGACGACGCGTGGGCGGGCTTCGACGCGGCCAAGGGCGGCGCCGCGAATTGGCCGACGCGCGTCGTCGAGGCGCCGCCGCCCGTCGAGGACCCGCCGCCGCCGCTCCTCGACGCGCCACCGTTCGAGGCGCCGCCGCCGCCGCCGGTCGAGTCGGCGTCGCCGCTCCTCGAAAGGCCGGCGCCGCCCGCGGAGGCGCCGCCGCCGCTCCTCGAAACGCCGGCGCCGCCGCCCGCGGAGGCGGCGCCGCCGCCGCCCCTCGAGCTGCCGCCGTCGCCGCCGGCGCTCCCCGCGCTCGCGCCGCCGCCGGCCGCGCCGCCGCAGCCGCCGGCCGCCGCGCCGCCGCAGCCGCCGCAGCCGCCGCAGCCGCCGCAGCCGCCGGCCGCCGCGCCGAGCCCGACCCTCGCGGACCTCGACGCGGCCGCCGAGGCCGCCGCGGCGCGGGCCTACGCGCGGCGGGACGCCGCCGCCGTCGTCGACCTCATCTCCGAGGTCGTCTGCGCGGGCCTCCGCGAAGACGGCCCGCCGTCGCCGCGCGTCCGCCGCGCGCCGCCGTCGCCGCCGCGGCCCGCCCTCGACGCGCCGCCGTCGCCGCCGCGTCCGGCCCCCGCGGCGCCGCGGACGCCGTCGCCGCCGCCGAACGCCGACGACGGCGACGACGCCGCGCTCAAGGCGCGCGCGCTGCGGCACGCGGACGACGAGATCGTCGCCACGCTCCTCGCGCGCATCGCCGCGCTCGAGGGCCAGCTCGCCGCGGGCGCGAGCCCGACGGGCGCCGCGGCGAGCCCCGTGCTCGACCGCTTCTTCTAAGGCACGCGTGTCGCGCGAACGTCGTTACCGCGCGCGTCGTCGCGCGGCGCGCCCGCAATTTCGCCGCGCGTCTACCGAGGCCCGCCGCGGAGGCGGAGGACCATGGACAGGGACGCGCCCTCGTCGATGCCGACCTCCTGGAGCGTCTTCTGGCCGTCGAGCTGCTTGCCGGCGAAGATGAGCCGCTGCTGGTCGACGGGCACGCCCTCCTTCTCCTCGATTTTGGCCTTGACGTCCTCGATCTTGTCCGACTCCTCGCACTCGATGCTCACGGTCTTCCCCGAGAGCGTCTTGACGAAGAGCTGCATGCCGCCGCGCGGCACGGCGAGCGCCTGGAGCCGCAGCGACGCGTGGCGCGTCCGGCGCGGGCCGAGCGCCGACGCGCCGCCGAGGGAGAGCGCGAAGACGAGGAGCGCGCGGAACATGTCTGAATTGCTTGCGGCGGTCCTGCGGGTGGTGTGCGCGGGCGGTCGACGACGCGTTGAAGAGCGTGCTCAGCGCGATGCTCCAAGTCGAGCTCGCTCCCCGGGGGGTGTTGCCGCCTTGCCGGCATAGTGCAGCCCGCGCCACTGCTGCCACCGCTCCACAGCGGTCGATTGATTTTCCGCATTTTGGTGTTCCCGGAGCCTCGGCCCCTGAAGCGTCCCGAAACCAAGGGGCGCGTACAGCGGCGTCGATGGCGCCGAGATCGGCGGTGGCGGATTCGTCCGTAGCTCGTACGTGGGGCGACACTGCACTTCTCGGAGCCTCCCGGGCAGGACTGCAGTACTGGTACAGACTCGCCAATGCGGAAGTTCATTGGGCCGCGCGCGCGCGCGCGCGCGCGCCTCGGACGGTGCGCAGGCGGCACCCCCCCTTGCGCTCGCTCTCGATCGAGTCCGCTCTCGCAAGAGGCCCGACCACCTCGGTGTCGTCGCGCGCGTCGTTCCAGGTGCCACCCCGCGGCCCCCGATCCCACCCTACACACACCTCAACCTCCCTCTCGTCGCCCGCGACGAGCCGCGCGCGCGCCGCCGCGCGCGGCGCCGCGCGCGCCGCCACTTTTTCAAATCGCGGAACCTCGCCACCTTTCGACGCGCCCAAGCGCCGCGCGCGACCCCGCCGACCCCATAGGCGCGATGGGCGGCTCCAGCCACCTGAGGGACAAGAGTAAAAGGGGCGCCGACGCCGGCGCGGCCGACGACGACGCGCCCGACGAGTGCGACCCGTCTCGATTGGACGCGCTGGGCCTCGCCTGGGCCGCGCGGCTCGGCATCTGCGACGACGCGCTGGGCAAGTTCACGGGCCTCTGGTTCAGCCTCGACGCCGCGACGCGTTCGTCGGCGCCGCCGCCGAAGGACGGCACGCGGTGCTCCGCGTGCAGCCGCCGCATCGGAATCGGGCGGAAGAAGCGCGGGCTCAACTACGAGAAGCACGGCGGCGACTGCGACACGGCCTGCTCCAAGGCCGTCGTCAAGGTGCTCGCCGCCATCGCGCGCGACGCCGGCGAGTCCTACTACGGCGGCGTCAACAGCCACAAGAAGGTCGCCGCGTACAAGGCCGAGGCGAGGCCCGGCGAGGAGGTCGACGAGTCCGCGCCCTCTCTGCGGCGCGCGGCCGACGACCGCGGGCGCAAGTACGACGGGAAGAGCGGCACGGCCGGCGACGCGTCCTTCGTCGCGCCCGTCGCGAGCTTCGAGCCCGCCGTGGACTGTACGCCGAAGTGCGTCCGCGTCTACGCGCAGTCCGGCGAGCGCTGCGGCCGCGCCTGCCCCGGCCTGCTGGCGTCGCTGGAATACGCGTCCGACGAGTTCTGCAGCTGCCGCTGCGAGACCGCGGAGCTCGCGCGCCGCGACGAGGTGCTGGAGACGGCGCGCGAGATCGAGGCGGCGCGGGCCAAGGCCCAGGAGGACAAGCCCGCCGCGGCGCCGCGGCGCGCGAAGAAGGCCCCGACCCTGGGGAGCATGCTCGCGTCCTGCGAGCGCAAGGAGGTCTCGGAGAGCGAGGACGAGGCCGACGGCGACGGCGGCGGCGCGCCGGACGACGACGACGACGACACGAAGACGGGCTCGGAGATCTCGAGCCGCCTGGACGACCCCGCCTACGCCGCCGCGGCCCAGGAGGCCGACGCGGAGCTCACGCGGCTCCGCGCGGAGTGGATCCGCGGCGCGCGCGCGGCGCTCGAGGGCGCCGGCGGCGCGGGCGCGACCGTCGACGCGCTGAGCAAGGCCTTCAAGAAGCGCATGCGCGGCGCCTGCCGCGACCACCACCGCGCCAAGGAGGCCTGGCTCTACGTGCGCGCTCGCCTCATCTACAAGAAGCACAAGGTCGTCGCCGTCAAGGACGACGGCAACGTCGTCCGCAGGGCCGCGGCGCACGCGCAGCGCCAGCTCGCGCTGAGCCTGCAGACGGCGTCGCACCCGGGGAGGCAGGCTGCGCCAGCGCCGCCGGCCCGGCAGGCGGCGCCGCCGCGCCGCGCGCCGCGGCCCGCGGCCGCGGCCGCGTGGGCGCCGCCGGCGACGCGCGGCGCGGCGCTCGCGGCGAGCCGCGTGCGGGGCGCCGGGCCCAGCGCCGCCGAGGTCGCCGCGCGCGAGGAGGCCATCCTGCAGATGGTGCTCGCCGAGTCGAAGAAGGAGTTCGCCGCGGACTACGCGGCGCGGCGCGCGCCCGCGCCGCGGCCGCCGACGCCGCCGCCGGCGGCCCCGCCGCCGCGGCCCAGCTGGATGGACAACTTCGACCCGCGCGACTTCGTCGACGAGTCGGGCGGCGGGGCGCCGCCGCCGGCGCCCGTCGTGACGCCGCCCGCGCCCGTCGCGCCGCCGCCGTCCGCCGTCGACGCGCAGGCCGAGGCGCTCCAGCGGTTCTCCGCGGCGTCGCGCGGCGACGCGTCGGGCCGCCGGAGCTTGCAGGAGCTCGCCGAGTCCTACGCCGCGCCCGCCGCGGCGCCGCCGGGCATCGGGTCGTCGCGGAGCCTCGGCGCCGTCGGAGACCCCGCCCCGCGCCAACCCGCGTACGGGTACGGCGAGCCGCCCCGCGGCGCCCCCGCCTACGATCCGTACGACGGCGCCCCGGCCCCGTCGAGCTACGGCGCCCCCGCCTCGTCGAGCTACGGCGCCCCAGCCTACGATCATTACGACCGCGCGCCGGCGTACGACGGTTCGCCGGCGTATCCGTCGTACGACGCGCCGCCGTACGCGGCCCCGGCCGTCGCCGCCCCGCCGGCGGACTTTGCGGGGTTCCTCCGGGCCGCCGGGCTCGAGCGCTACCACGACCTGCTGCGCCAGGAGGAGATCCACGACGTCGGCACGCTCCGTTTGCTCACGGCCGACGACCTCAAGGACGTCGGCCTCCCCTACGGGCCCCGCATCAAGCTCCTCGCCCTCGCCAAGGAGGCCACCGCATGAACACGAACACGCCCCGCGCGCGCCCGAGGAGGCGCGCGCGGGGCTCGCGCCGACGGTCACCGCGCGTACCCCCCCGCGAGGGGTACGCGCGCCCGGCCGGCGCGTCGAAGGACGCATCGCGGAACGACGGCCCGGGGATTCCGCTCCCCGGGCGGCGGTCACCGGACGCTACGCGACGTAGCGCCCGCCCGCCACCAGGCGTTCCACGGACACGAGAAGAAGACCTCGCAGCTCGCGGAGAACGGCGGCCCGCAACCCCCCGGGCGGCGTGTCACCGGGCGCGTACCACCACGCGGTACGACGCCCGCCCGCCAAAAGCCGCCCCTCCTAAGCTACGAGCCCTGTGTTTTCCGGCGTTGCGAATCCCGCCGGCGTGGCCGGCGCTTCCACTTAGTCTTGAATATCAATAGGGGGGGTCACTGAGCCCGGGTGCTCTCCGGGCTCCGCTCCGCCCCCGCTGGCGCCTGGTTTTTGGAGGCGTCCCTGGAGCGACTTCCCGGTTTAGTGGGGACGCGAAAATTAGGGGAACTGCGTGGGGCGCCGCCCCGCGGCGAATGCGCCGGTTTAGGGCTCCCCACTAAATCGCCCCGGCTGGAATGGGTCACAGTGCCCTGCACTTGTCGGACCAGGGAGAGCGTTTTGTGAGAGCTGGGCTGCCCGTGTCGCCGCCCGTCGGCCCGGCTGTGCGCCTGCGGGCGTTTGGATTCGATTCCCCGCGCCTTGCGCCAGCCCGAATGGCCGCAGCAACCGCAGCGCTCGTCGGCGCCTAAAGCTCGCTCTGCAAGAGAGAGACTTTGCTGGGTCCTGATCCAAACCAGGTCACCAGCGTGCTTCTATTCGCCGCGTCGACGTCTCGACAGCTTCGCGCGGTCTCAGAAGGTCCACGGAGGAAGGGCAAGGGCGCCAGGGACTACTACACGTGGCTCGAGGCGAAGTACTCCAAGGCCTTCTACGTCGGCGAGTCCCGCGCCTCCGGCGGGCGCCAGGACCTCGAGTTCGAGGCGTCGGTCGCCGTCTACGTGAACCGCCCTCACTACGCCAAGTTCCTGGATGTCATCCTCCCGGACCCGCAGCACAGGAACATCCTCGAAACGTCCGCGCGTCCCCGACGCGCGTTCCGCGGAAAAAAAACGACCTCTTCTAGTACCATAACTTCGCTCAATCCGGACGGATCAGGACGAACCGAAAGTCGTTTTCGAGTTCCTACGCGGGCTCCTCGGGATAGGCGCAGTCTCGGAGCTCGGCTCGACGACGGCAAAATCCCGGGTTTTCAGTGTCGCCCCCTAATCATGATATCAAGCCGCGTACTCCTCAACACCGCCGCTTGCCCTTCAAGAACCGGCGGCGATGTGGCCGATGCGGCCGTCGTCGATTGGGCCGTCGGCGTCGGGGGGTGCAGCGTCGGCCAGATGATCGCGTCGTTGGGCCGGTAGGTAGGTCAAGTTGAGGAGATGATGACCTTTTGCGCATGCTGCAGGGGAATGCTCATGCTCGGGCTGCACCGATCGACCATGATGGGCCCGCGCGCCCTTGTCCTCGCGCTGCTGCCGACCGCGGTGGCGGCTAAGGGTGTGGCATGGTATGAAATCGTCGGCGGAAGCGCTGTGTGGCTAGGGATTTTATTCGTGTGTATCTACACACGGTACAAGTACAGGAGGCGCTCCACGACCGTCACGGCGCCGGCCGGTAAGCTGGGACTGCTCTTCGACGAGACCACGACGCCGCCTACGGTCACGGGCCTCGCCGCGTTGTCGTCGCTGCATGGCAAGGTGAAGGTGGGCTGGAAGCTCGAGAAGGTAGACGACGTCGACGTGTCGAAGATGACCGGCGCGGCCGCGACGCAGCTTCTCGAGGAGCGGGCCGCAAACGCGCGCCGCCTCGAATTCGACCGCACTCTACCACCACTCCCGAAGTATGAATTTTAGGGGAATGGCAGGGGTAACACCGTCGAGTTCGACGACGGCGGCGGCCGCGCGGCGCGGAGCCGCGCGGCGAACGCGCCCTTCGCGCAGCGCGCCGATCGCGTAGAGAAGCCGCCGTAAGGCGAAGACGAACGCTCCCTTAGCGCATAGAGATTGCGGGGAGGTGGCGCGAAAGCGAGGGCCGCGCACCCGGGAGGCCGAGGGAGCGGGGTCTCGCCGGCTTCAATGTGAGCTTCACAAGCGGCTCGGGCCCGATCGGGTTCGGGTCGCGGGCTCTCCGATGGGCGTCGAGCCTCGTCTTGCGGCGCCGTAAGCGCGCGACCCGTCGTCGATTAGCACGCAGGAACATGGCCGACGGCGACGGCCGGTCGTCGCCGGCGGCGAAGCCGAACTTTAAGCCGACGTCGACGCGCTGCGTGACCCGCCTCGAGACGAGCGTCCGGGACAGCGCCTACGCGTCGTCGGAGCGCCGGCGACCGGCGCTCGCGGGCGTCTGGGAGTCGCTGGACAAAGGTGCGCCGCCGCCGCGCGCGCCGCGGCGCCGCGCAACGAGACCCCCGTCCCCCCCCCCCTCGCAGGCGCGGGCCGCGCGTGCGCGGCGGGCGCCGCGCCGCCGCTGACGACGTTGGCGCGCGCGGCGCGCGAGACGACCCTGCGCGAGGACGCGGCGTTCCCGCCGCCGCCGTGCCCGCCGCCCGTGGCGCCCCTCGCGGCGCCGAGCGTCGAGTGGGTCGGCCCGCCCGCGGGCGCGGGCGCCGGCGCCGCGCCCGCGCTCTCGCGCGTCAAACGCGGCCTCGCGCTCACGGTCACGGTCAACGGCCGCGGCGCGGCGACGCCCGGCGCGCCGGCGCCGACGGCGGAGAAGGTCGCGGCCTTCGCGCGGCGCACGCGCGACGCCATGGAGGCGCGGCGCCGCGAGCGGGACGCGGGCGTCGTCGCGCTGAATCGGACCGCGACGGACGCGTTCCTCCGGGCGAGGCCGGCGGGCGACGGCGACGCGTCCGACTTTGCCGCGGCGCCCTGGCCCGCGGGCCGCTTCGCCCTCGAGCGCCACGTGCCCATCCCCCAGTCCGTGGCCTGGAACGGCCTCCGGTCCAACTACCACGCCGACGACGATCCCGTGCTCCGCTACGTGCCCTACTTCGGCGACGACGACGCGAGGGGCATCGACGTGTCGGCCTACGAGGCCGTGCCCGAGTCGGCGCGCCAGGCCGCCGACGACCAGCCGGACCCGAAGAAGCGGCGCCTCGCGGCGCCGGGGCCCCGGCGCCGCGGCCGACTGACGGAGGTCGAGGAGTGGGTCGCGTGGCGCACCTACGGCACGTTCCGCGGCGGGAGCGGCGGCGGCGACGCGGAGCTGCAGCCGCTGGCGACGGCGCTGGAGAAGGCGCTCGGCGGCGCGCCGCGGGACCTCGCGCTCGCCGCGCTCGCCGCGGCAAAGGCGCAGAACGCCAAGGCGGCGCCGGCGCCGCGGAACGCGCGGAACGACGCGAACGGCCGCGGCCTGCGCGTCGCGGCCAGGACCTACGCGGAGCTCAGCGAGTCCTACCGCGACCTCTTCTGCCGGCGCTGCTTCGTCTACGACTGCGCGCAGCACGGCGTGAGGCAGCCGCTGCCGCGCGCGCGGTGCGACCCCGTGTTCCACACGGAGCAGGAGCGCGAGGCGGCCTGGCCCGACGACGCGGCCTACGACGCCCGGGACCGCGCCATGCCGCCGCCGCCGGCCTTCGACGTCGACGCCGCGGATCTGCTGCTCGCGGCGAAGGCGCGCGCCGCGCTCGGCGCCGGCGCCAAGGCCGCGTCCGCGCTGGGCTTCGCGCCGCCGGGCGTCTTCGACGGCGCCGCCGACGACGTCGCCGAGGACGTCGCCGCCGCGCCGGAGCCCCAGCTCGAGACCGGGTCGCCGTCGCCGAAGAAGGGCGCGAAGCGCAAGCGGTACCAGACGGGGTCGAACGGCCTCTCGCTCACGCTGGGCAAGCGCAAGGCGAAGAAGATCCCCGCGCACTCGCGCTGGGCGACGGCCCACGCGGCCCTGTTCCGGCGCCAGAAGCTCGCCCTGGGCTCCAAGGGCTTCGCGAGCCGGAGGGACACGCCGCACACGTTCATGCCCTGCAACCACGACGGCCCCTGCGACACGGACGCGTGCTCGTGCGTGGCCCGGGGCGCCGCGTTCTGCGAGAAGTACTGCGCCTGCGGGCCGGACTGCCGCGCGCGCTTCCCGGGCTGCCGCTGCGCGCCGAACCTCGACCCGGAGCGCCAGGGCTGCCGCACCGCGGGGGCGTGCGACTGCGTCGCCGCGGGCCGCGAGTGCGACCCGGACCTCTGCCGCTGCTGCTCGTCGGCGCCCGTGTCCGGGGACCCGACGGCCGTCGACGACATCGCGGCGCGCTGCGCGGGCTGCCGCAACGTCGCGATCCGCCTCCGGCGCCACAAGCGCGTCGCCATCGGCCGGTCGTGCACGCACGGCTGGGGCGCCTTCGCGCTGGAGCGCTGCCGCGTGGGCGACCTCGTGGGCGAGTACCGCGGCGAGCTCGTGAGCCAGGACGAGGCGGACCGCCGCGGCAAGATCTACGACAAGCTGAACTGCTCGTTCCTCTTCAACCTCGACGACGAGCTCGTCGTCGACGCGACGCGCAAGGGCGCGAAGATGAAGTTCGCGAACCACCACGCGGACCCGAACTGCGCGGCGCGCGTGGCGCTCGTCGACGGCGACCACCGCATCGGCCTCTTCGCGAAGCGCGAGATCGCGCCGGGCGAGGAGCTCTACTTCAACTACTCCGCGGGCTTCTGGGAGTCGACGCAGATCGAGTCCTCGGCGCCGACGCCCGACGCCTAGGGCACCGCGTTCGCTAAAATGGACCGGTCTGCTCGCTGATGGGGTCGCGTGTTGCGGATAGACGGTGGCGATGCTGTAAGTTGAAGATCAAGTTGAAGATTTGAAGCGCCGCCGGCCGAGTCGCGACGAGCCGCGCACCGCCGCTCTCCGAACCGAACACACCCTTCGCACCGCGCACCGCCCACACGCACGCACCCATGTCGCTGCCGCGCCTCGTCCTCGCCTGCGCCCTCGCCGGCGCGTCCGCCGTGAACCACACGCTGGGCTACCTGCCCTTCTCCTGGGACACGCTGCCCCGCTACACCTTCTGCGTGAACAGCAGCGGCCCCTTGAACGACGAGGCCCTCGCCTACGTCGCCAAGCAGCCCATCTTCCTGAACAACCCCGTGCTCACGCGGCCCGCGGGCAGCATCGACCGCAGCGAGGTGCGCATGCCCGCCCAGGCCGCGGCGCTCCGGGCGCTCAACCCCGACCAGCGGCAGTGGTTCTACTACGCGATCGATCTCGTCCGCGTGCACAACTTCGAGAACGACCACTGGATGGAGGCGCACCCCGAGTGCCAGCTGCGCGACGTCAACGGCGACGCCGTGCCGCGCACGGTCTGGGATTTTGGGTCCGAGTGCGGCGCGGAGCGGTGGCTCAACACGAGCCGCGCGCTCGTCACCGCGGGTAAGTTGAACGGCGTCTTCATCGACGGCTTCCAGGGCTGCAACCCCTTCGAGGGCGACATGGGCTGCGTGCGCGTCTGCACGTCCGAGGCGGGCTGCGACGACGAGACCATGAAGCGGTGGAACGCGGGCCTGGTCGCCGCGCTCTGGCGGCTCAAGCGCGAGATCCTGGGGAAGAACGGGACCCTGATCTGCAACTACACGCCGGGCCCCTTCACCTGCGACCCGTCGAAGCCCATCGCGGAGTGCCCCTGCGACGGCACGAACGACGAGCGCGGCGGCGGCAACTTCGACCACGTGGCGTCGATCGCGGAGATCGAAGCGACGCAGGGCGACTACGCGATGCTGACGCACGTGCCCCACGCCAACGACGACCACACGCTGCTCAAGTCCATGGCCCAGTTCTTGATCGCGGCCTCGGACTACCAGTACCACGGCTCGGGCTTCGGCTACGAGTGCGGCGCCGACGGCTGGCTCGCGCGGTCCGACGCGGTCGAGCGCGCGTACGCGGCGCCCCTCGGCGCGCCCCGGGGTGATGCGAACGAGACCGCGGGCTGCGCGCCGGAGAAGGGCTGCTGCGCTCGGAACGCGACCTGCGACCCGTCCTGCCACGCGCCCGGCGAGTACTGCGTCCGCGACCGCGCGTTCGCGACGGGCACGAGGGTGTTCGTCAACTACACGGCCGGCGGCGGCTGCGTGCTCTGGAGCGACGGCACGAACACGTCCTACCTCGACGACCGCGGCGTGGACGGGTGCGTGGAGGCGGGCGCCTGGTTCGCCTAGGACCCCGGATAATGCCCTTGAAGTCTGCCGTTGAAGGCCACGCATGACGGCATTCCTGTTGTTGAAAAATGAGGCGGGCGCCTGGTTCGCCTAGGACCGGATAATTGTTGAAGTCTGCATTAACGGCATTATGAAGTCTGCATGAACGGCATTCCTGTTGTTGAAAAATCAGAGATCCATCGATTGCGGCCCGGGCGAGGGCTGCCTCTGCCGATTTCGTCCGCCGTTTGGACGGCCACGCGCCCTCCATGGTCCAGTTCGTGACCCCCACGGAGAAGCCCAGCGACCTCACGGCGAAGAACCTCGAGATCATGAACGTGGAGAAGGGGGACCGGCCGGACCTCGGGCCGAAGAGCCCGACGGCGGCGTCGGACGTCAGCGCCGCCCAGGAGGCGGCGAAGCAGATGAAGCACACGGAGGCCGGCTCCTGGACCATCGCGCCGGACAAGAACAAGCACGTCCAGAACTGGGACGTCGTGCTCTGCTTCGCGCTCGTCTACACGGCCGTCGTCACGCCCGCGGAGGTCGGCTTCGTGACGGACGAGGACAAGGTCAACGACTACATGGCGCTCTTCGGCGTGAACATGTTCGTCAACGCCATCTTCCTCTGCGACGTCGCCCTCCAGTTCTTCCTCCACTACCAGCTGCCCAAGGAGAAGGGTTTGACGTGGGTCCGGAACCACAAGCGCATCGTCGCGCACTACCTCAAGGGCTACTTCTGCCTCGACTTCTTCTCGTCCATCCCCTTTGGCGCCCTAGGCATGATGTTCCCCGCGATGGGGGACCTGGCGGCGGCGCGGCTCCTGCGGCTGCTCCGCCTCGCGAAGCTCCTGCGGATCATGCGGTCGTCGCGGCTCATCAACCGCTACCGCGCGGACATGAGCGTGTCCTACGGCATCATCCAGCTCTGGGGGTTCGTCATCCTCGCGGTCATCGCCTGCCACTGGATGGCCTGCCTCTGGGGCTACACGGCGAACGCGTCGAGCTCCGGCTTTGGCAACTCGTGGATGACGGCGTTCGTGCGCGGCGACGGTTTGGACGACGACAACCCGCTGCCCAAGTGGAACATCAAAAACCCGAAGCACCAGTACGTCATCTCGCTCTACTTCGCGATCATGACGCTGACGACCGTGGGCTACGGCGACGTGCTCGCGCAGAACATCTCCGAGTACGCGCTGATGATCGTCATGATGTTTCTAGGCGGGTTCATGTGGGCCTACATCATCGGCGCCGTCTGCGCCATCACGTCGACGCTCGACATCAAGAAGATCGAGCACCAGCAGCTCTACGACCAGATCAACAACATGCTCGTGGACCTCGCGATCACGCGGCCCGTCGCCGCGTCCGTGCGGTCGTTCCTCTTCCAGACGGAGGAGATGGAGCGGCGCATCGGCTACAGCGACCTCATCGAGTTCCTGAGCCCGGAGCTCCAGGGCGTGCTCTGCGAGGAGATCTCGGCGAAGCGGCTCACGGCGATCAAGTACTTCCAGCACCGGTCGTCGAACTTCCGGCTCGCGCTCTTCAAGCGCATGACGCGGCGCCTCTTCTGCCCCCAGGAGCTCATCTACGAGGACCGGCTGCTCATCATCGCGAACCAGGGCGTCATCGGCTCCGACGGCCGCATCTACACGTCGGGCATGGCGCTGAACTTGGACTTCTTCCTCGTCGGCGAGCTCCGCCTCGTGCTCATGATGCGCGCGCTCAACTACGTCGAGGTCGAGCGCCTCGCCAAGGAGAATTTGTTCGAGATCCTGCGCGACTTCCCCGAGGAGCGCATGCCCGTCATGTGGGCGCGCGTCTTCAGCGCCCTCATCCGCAAGGTGAAGCAGATGAAGGTCCAGCACAAGCGGCCGTCGCGCCTCGCGCGCGGCCCGTCGACGACGTCGCTCCTCTTCAACACGGGCGACCTCGTCGAGTGCTACCAGGCCGTGTCGTCGGACCCCCACAAGCTCAAGGACGTGTCCGACGCCATGAAGGACACGCAGCCCCTCTGCGAGATCGCCGTCGGCGAGGACGCCGCGGCGTTCCAGTACGCGAGCCCGCGGCTCCGCGCGGACGCCCACTTCGTCGACTACGCCGTGCTCCACGCCGGGCCCGACGCGTGGAAGACGGCGGTCCTCCCCCACGTCGAGGAGCCCCTCAAGACGCTCCTCACGCGCATCTCCGCGTCCGCCAAGGTCTTCTACGAGAACGACCCCGGCGCCGCGGGCTCGCTCTGCGCCTGCTAGGGAGCCCCGCGTGCGACCTTACTCCTCCTTGCCCTTCTTGTCCTGCCCCGTGGCGATCTTGTAGAGGCCCTTGACGATGAGCGACGCCCAGTAGAGCTGGAGCGCGCAGACGAAGAGGTTCGCCACGGACATGAAGGCGCAGGTTCCCACGGACGCGGCGCGGTCGTCCTGCCAGAGCTCGTACAAATCCGCCTGGAACTCGACGCTCACCTTGGAGCTCAGGCCCACGCGGAGCGACAGGAACAACACCGCGAACGAGAGCTTCGACGCGAAGTCGAGCGTCGGGTGCTTCTTGCGCAGGCCCTTGAAGTTCTTGAGCGTGTCCATGACGTTGAGGGGGATCGTCGACAGCTCCGTGACGCCGAAGAAGACCGCGAGGTAGCTGTGCGCGAACGTGCCCCGCAGGCACAGCACCATGAGCGCGGCCGTCGTCGCGTGGTGGCCCAGCAGCTCGGGCTTGAAGAGGCTCTTGTCCCGCGTCGACAGCGCCATCGTCGTCACGAAGACCTGCAGCGCGATCTGCACGACGCAGATCATCTCCGCGTCGCCGTCGTACTCGTACATGCGCCGCTCGATTTCATCCGGCCGCGCGCGGTACCCGAGCACGCCGTAGTAGCAGAGGGCGACGATGGGCAGCATGTGCGTGATGTTCATGGCCGCCAGCGCCGGCTTCTCCTTGAAGTCGGCGTGTACGCGCGTGACGCAGTAGACGGCGCCGAAGACGGCGAAGATGACGGCGCACCACGCGGCGACGAGCCACGCGGCGTGGACGCCACCCATCGGCTCGGTTCGGACCTGGCGCGCCGTGGTGCGGTGCTGCGCGGTGTCCGCGCGACCGGGCCGACGTCGCGCGGGCGCGGTGAGAACACGCGACGCGAGCCCAGAGCTCAAGTCGTCAAGGGCCGGCAACTCACGATCGACCTCAGCATGGGGGGGGTTGCTTCGGCAAGGTCGGCGCCGTCGCGCGACGGCGGCGTCTAAAGTCACTCTTTTTTGCATGCGCCGGGAGAGGTCCGGTGGCTACGCTCGCGTGAAGCAAGCTCTTTCTAACTCGACGATCTCGGCACAATATCCTCGAAAAAGGACCGCCTACGTACGAATACGCGCGTATACGCGCCAGCCATGCGCTGCGTATAGGTGCAGAACGGTCGCTTTTTGTGGTCGGGGCGACGCCCCATGACCCCTGGCGTCGCCCTGGACGGTTGGTGAGTTCCGGAGACGCCGTTTCGGTGTCGGTCCAAAATCCACCCTACGGGCCTCGCTCGTCCACCGCGCTCCTACGGACAAATCCGGCACAGCCGATCTCGCCACCATCGATGGTGTTGGACGTGCCCCTTGGTTTCCTAGTCGACGGTACTATGAAGGTTCGATCGCGCTCAAGATCGTGACTTTCGAGTACCGCGTCGCTGCGCTGGAGGGGTCGGCCGGGGCGCCACTACGGAGCAAACCCCCCCCTCCTCAGCGCTTGCACCTTGAGGCATCGAGATTTGCCACAGCATGGCGTCCATGCTTTGGCATGGAAACCAGCAAGACCAGCTCTCGCTGCTCTTCACGGGCAACGGCTGCGAGCGGAGCAACCTCATACGACTTCCGGAAAACGTCGTGGAGCACGTCGCGGACTACGTGACCCTGGATCGCGACGACCGGGCCGCCGCGGCGGCCGTGGTGGAGATCGAGCAGGAGGAGCGGCGGCTCCTCGCACAGGAGGGTTCGCACAAATTCCCCTTCGCGTCGACCGCAAAGACGACCTTCTTGAACCACGGCGGCTGCAGCGGCCCTTGCGTCGGCGCGCTCGCGCTGAAACGCACCGTCGACGAGATGGCGAATCGCCAGCCGATGGAGTGGCACCGCGCCGTCGCGCCGGCGCTCGTCGCGCGCGCGGAAGATACTGTCGCGAGCTACGTGGGTTGCCGCGACCCCGCGCGGCTCCACTTCGTGGAGAACGTGTCCGTGGGCATCTTCGCGGCGCTGAAAGCGTGCTCGCTCGCGCCCGCCGCCGCGCCCGCTCGTGGGCGTGGAAGGCCGGCTTCCGACGCTCAAACTCCCGACACTCGACCGCCGGTCGTCGTGACGACGAACGTGCGCTACCACTCCGTGGACGACGCGCTCGCGGACCTGTGCGAGCGCGCGGGCGCGACGCTCCACACCATCAAGCTCAGCGCGAAGTGGTTTGAATCAGCCGCCACGATCCTCACTTATCTCCCGCACGAACTCGACGCCGCGGCGAAAAAAGGCCCCGTGCGCCTCGCGGTCTTCGACCACGTGAGCTCGAAGCCGTCAGTGCTCTTCCCCGTCAAGGAGATGGTCCGAATCTGCCACGAGAAAGGGATCCCCTGCCTCGTCGACGGCGCCCACGCGCCGGGATCGTTGCCGGACCTCGACGTCGACGACATCGGCGCGGACTTTTACGCCGTGAACTTCCATAAATGGCTCTACGCGCCGCGACCGTCCGGCGCGCTCATCCTCGGGTCCCGGCCCCTTGCGCCCTGGATCGACGCTTCCTGGTTCGACACGGGGTCGCCGAGCTACCGCATCGACCACCTGACGCGCGGCCTCTACGACGAGGCGACGCGCGACTATGCGAATTTTATCGTGCTGCCGCTCTGCGTCGCCATCGCGCGGCGCCGCGAGCCCGCGTTCCTCGCTCACCGGGCGAAGATGCTGCCCAAGGTCCTGAGCAACGCGCCCGGGCTCAACTCCCTCGCGCTGCACTGGGGCTCGCCGCCGCTCGTCTCCGAGAGCATGTGCGTCTCGATGGCGTCCGTCTTCCTGCCCATGGACAGGCTGCTCAGTCTCGTTCCGGCGGACCCCTCTGGTCTCGTTCCGGAGGGCCCCAGAGGGGGCCGGCCTTTAGGCGGTATCCGGCTCAAGAAACTCAAGACCTACGTCCACGATTACCTGTGGAATACGCACGCCGTCGAGGTGCCCTGCTTCGCGTTCGACGGTCAACTGTGCGTGCGCATCTCGCTCCCGGAGTACGTCGGCGAGGCCTGCCTGGACCGCCTTCGAGCCGGCGTCGACGCCCTCTTGGCGTTGGCGGATGAAACCCGACGACAGCAGTGTGTCAGACGAAACCATCACTACGCCAGGGGACGCCCTGGAAACTTGGCCACTAGTGGAACGTAAGCGAAACTCCGCAGTAACATCGATCGACCGGTTATGGGCAGCCCTAGGCGGCGACGGGCTCGTCGCCCGGGGACGCGTGCGTCTTCCGCTTCTTCTTCTTGCCGCGGTCGCGCTTGCGGCCGTCGTCGAGGTCCCGCTCGACCCAGGCCGGCAGCGGGTAGGCGCCGCCCTCGCAGGGCCGGTCGCGGAAGCAGGACCGCAGGAGCGCGTCGAAGACGAGGCGCGGGCCGTCGCGCCAGCCGAGGAACGACGCTCCGAGCTCCGTGAGCTCGCCCGTCGCGACGGACAGCTTCGGCGCGCCCGTCGCCGGGTCGTCGTGGACGCAGACGAAGACGTCGACGCGCACGAAGGGCAGCGGCTCGCTGTCCAACCCCCGGAGCCACGCGAGCCAGCGGCCGACGAGCGTCCGGACCTCGCGCTCCGCGGCGTCCGCGAGCGCCTCGTCGCCGCGGAACCACTGCTGCACCGCGTCGGCCCGCTCGAGCTCGGAGAAGGTGACGAAGCGGCCCTGGTCCTCCTCGCCCACGGGCTCGTCGCCGGCGTCGGGGTCGTCGAAGCGCGTGTAGAGGAGCTTCTCGAGCTTGCCGTCGACGCAGTACGCGCGGACCTCGCCGACGGCCTCGACGAACTCCTGGACGAAGACGTAGTCCGCGCGGCAGCCCGGCTGCCGCGCGAGAGACCGGAGCGCGTCCCGCAGCTGGCCCTTGCCGCGCCAGGCGCGCACGTCGATGGCCTCCCAGGAGTGGCCCAACTTCGCGACGCCGCGCGTCCACCTGGGCGGGAAAAGAGTGCGAAATGCCCAACTTTGGAGGCTCCTATCTCGGTCGTTTCCCACTCGTTTCGGCTGATTTTTAGACGAGCGATCATCTCTTGGAACGGCCTCGACGCGTGGATGCTTTTTCCGGAACGCGCGCGCGCGGAACACTCATGTCGAAGCGATCTTGAATCACTCTTGTCCCGCCCCGGCGCCCACGGCTTCGCGCCGCCGTCCTTGGGCCGCCGCGCCTTGAAGTCGCGGCCGACGACCTTCAAAGCATCCACGGCGCGCCGCGCGGCGCCCTCGGCGTCGCGCTCGATGGCGCTCAGGTTCACGCGCGTCGTCGGCGGCACGGCGAGCGCGCCGACGGCGCCCAAATGGCTCGTCCACTCCTTGGACACGAGGGTCCGGTAGACGTGGGCCGCGTGGGGGAAGCGGCTCGGGATGCCCGCCCCCTCGAGGCGCTGCATGAGGTCGAAGAAGGGCGACGCGGGCACCATGCCCGGCCGCCCCGCGGTGCCGTCGTCGAACTGCGTCGGCCAGAGCAGGTACAGCGCGCCGTAATGGTCGCAGCCGGCGACGAGGTCCAGGAGCCGCCGCTCGCAGAGGGACCGCAGGTCGTCCGTCGATGCGACGTAGGCCGTGACGGCCTCGTAGGACGTGCCCACGCGGCCGTGGATGGCCTCCATGAGGCCCGCGGCGTACGTGTGGCTCGGCACGGCGCCCGACGGCCCCCAGCCGCCCGCGTGCGTGCCGTCGCAGGACTCGGGCTGCTCCTCGCCGCCCCAGCGCACGAGCACGAGGCCCAGGGACGCGCGCGTGCGGCTCGGGAAGCCCAAACCGGCCGCGGGCCGCACGCGGGCCGGCGCGAAGCGCTGGACCGCGTTGGCCTCGTCGCGCATGTCGAGCCGCTGGCCCCGGGCGTCGCGCCAGTGCTCGTGCGTGTGGCGCACGACGACGCGCTCGTCGCGCCAGCCCTGGTAGTCGCGCACGACGACGGCGGGCACCCAGCAGTCCGTGCGCGCGACGCGCGGGCTCCGGAGGCAGTCGCTGGGCGACGCCGTCGGGAAGTAGCCGCCGTTGCCGTCCTCGAGCGTCCGGTAGAAGACCTCGACGGCGTCGCCCTCGCGCCACTCGACGCCCGTCGCGGCGGCCTCGAAGCCCAGGCGCGGCGCGTCGTCGCCGTCGCCGTCGCGGAGGGCCTCGACCTCCGAGTCCGTGCGCGCGCGCTCGCCGGCGGGGCCCGGCGCGGCGTCCTCCGGCGCCAACGCCGGCTCGAGCTGCGCGGGTTCCTCGAGCGTGGGCTCGCTGTCGGCGCGCTCCATGTGGACTGCTTGGTGGCAACTAGCAGGCGCCGCGCACGCCTGCGGCCGCCGATCTCCACTGCCACAAAGCTGCTCTGTTGGCTTGGCGATGTTTTGCTGAGCTCGGCTCTTCGGCAGCTCTCCGCGTCGTCCAGCAGCAGCGCGTCCAGGGCCGTGCACCACCAGACGCACGCAAGAGAAGCGCAAACCCCTCCCACCATGGGCGGCCCGAAGTCCGGCAGCAAAGGCCGCGGCGGCGGCGGCGGCGGCCGCGGCAAGGGCCGGGGCAAGGGCGGCAAGGGCGGCGGCGGCGCGAAGATGCAGCGCGCCAAGACGCACCTGCCGCAGAAGGGGAGCTTCGCGACGGCCCCGTCGGCCAAGGGCGTCGTGTCCACGGACAAGAAGAAGGCCGTCAAGCGGCGCCGCGAGGAGCCCGCGGCCGTGCCGCTCGGAGGGAAGAAGGCGCTCAAGGTCACCACCGTGCGCGGCGGCGAGGTGAGCGAGAGCGTCAAGCTCTGGAACGTCTTCCGGGAGAAGGCCCTCGACCCGGCGAAGCGGTCGAAGACCATCTCCGGCGCGCTCAAGGCGCTCGACGGCAAGCTCTACGAGGCGTCGCTCAAGCACGACGCCGCGCGCGTCGTCCAGTCGCTCATCCAGTGGGGCGACGCGAAGCAGCGGGCGAAGATCGCGGCGGAGCTCGGCCCGCGCATGCTCGAGCTCGCGAAGCTGCCCTACGCGCGCCACGTGGCGCTCTGCCTCCTGCGCCACGTCAAGGACGAGCGCCGCGTCTTCTTCAAAAGCTTCGAGGGCGGCTTCGCGAAGCTCGCGACGCACGCGACGGGCGCCAAGGTCGCCGAGGCCGCGCTCAAGAGCGTGTCGAAGCAGGACGCGGCGTCCCTGCGGGCCGAGCTCTTCGGCACGGAGTTCGCGCTCTTCGCCAAGGAGACGGGCGCCGGCTCTTCTTTGAAAGACGTGCTCGCGGCGAACGCGACGCGCAAGGGCCGCGTGCTCGACGGCGTCGAGCGCGCCCTCGCGCGCCTCTGCGACAAGGCCCTCGTGCACCTCCACCTGTCCCACGACCTGCTCTTCGAGTACGTCGAGGCGTGCGAGCCCGGCGACGCGTACCGCCTCCGGGCGATGGCGGGCCGCGCGGCCGACGGCGCGGCGCACGTCGTGTCGACGCGCCGGGGCGCCTTGGCCGTCGCGGGCCTCGCGACCTACGCCGACGCGAAGACGCGCAAGAAGCTGCTCAAGGGCTTCAAGGGCAAGGTCTGCGCGGCGCTCTGCCACGCGCACGCGTACCTCGCGGTGTTGCGGCTCTGCGACGTCGTCGACGACACCGTCGCCGCGCACAAGCTGTTGCTCGGCGACCTCGCGGGCGGCGGCGGCGGCGCGCCGCCGCTCCTCGAGGTCTGCCTCCACCCGAACGGGTCGAAGCTCCTGCTCTGGCTCCTCTGCGGCACGGCGGCGACGAAGCACTTCGACCCCGTCGAGCTCGAGCTGCTGTCGAAGAAGGCCGACGAGCTCGCGGTGCCCGTGCCGGGCACGGAGAAGGTCGTGACGGCGTCGAAGAAGCCCGACGCGACGCGGCGCGCGGAGCTCCGCGCCGCCGTGCTCCCGCACCTGTCGAAGCTCGTCGAGAGTTACGGCGCCGCGCTCCTCGGCAGCCGCGCGGGCGGCGCCGTGCTCGTCGAGACGCTGCTGGCGACGAAGAGCGACAAGACGGCGGCCCGGGTCGCGCGCGCGGCGCTCGGGTCGGCCTTCGACGCGACGCTCACGGAGGCCGCGGACCCGGCGCTCAAGCCCAAGCACTTCGGCGGCGACGACGACGACGACGACGACGACGCCGCGCCCTTCGCGGCGGACGACGACGACGACGGCGCCATGGACGACGAGATGGTCGACGACGACGACGACGACGACGACGACGACGACGACGTCGAGAAGGCCTTCGCGGACGACGACGACGACGACGACGAGAGCGTCGACGCCGAGGACGTCGCCGTGGCCCTGGACGACGACGACGGCGGCGACGACGACGTCGACGCGTCCGGGAAGCCCCTCGTCCTCGAGCACGACGTCGCGCACCGGACGCTCATCACGCTCCTCCAGCGCGAGGCCGCGGCGGCCGGCGGGCCCTTCGCGGGCGCCTTCGCGGGCCTCGTCGCCGGCCACCTCGGCCAGTGGTGCGACTCGAACCGCGGCGCGCTCGTCCTCGAGGCGCTCCTCCGGTCCCCGGGCACGGAGAACGCCAAGGCGGAGCTCCGCGGCCACAAGGCGCAGCTCAAGAAGCTCGCCAAGGCGACGCCGGGCTGCGCGGCGCTCCTCAAGGCCCTCTAATGCGCCTGAACTCGAACTATGAGATGGGGTCCCGAGCCCGAGGGACGCACTTACCCGGTGCCCCTGCGCCCGGGGAACTTGCCCTGCCACGCGTTCCAGACCGCGGGCGTCTGCACGGCGCAGGAGTAGCCTCGCGCGTCGCCGTCTTGGCACCGCGCGACGTCCCTGTCGACGCAGAGCGGCGCGAGGGACGCCCCGTTCGCGTCGAACCAGGCCGACGCCGCGGGCACGAGGGGGTCCCGCGCGAAGAGCGTGTCGATGCCGACGCAGACGACGGGCCGCAGGCCCCGGCTCCCGAGGTAGGCGACGTGGTCCGCCTTGGCGTTCTCGAGCGTGATGAAGTCGACGGCCGTGGAGTTCCAGTCCATGCCCCGGAGCGCGGGCAGCTCGTGGCCCTCGACGTCGAGCGACAGGTACGTGACGCGTTTGTGCTTCTCGAGCACGCGCCGCAGCGTCGTGCACGTCATGGGCACGAGTTTCCGGCCGGCGATGTGGCCCACGGGGCCCGTCGCGAGGAAGTCGACCGCGACCTCGCGGTCGGAGACGCACGCGTCCGCGAGCGGGCGGCTCCGCGCGCCGCGGATCGCGGCGTGGTACCGCGGGTTCGGCTCGACGCAGAGGCCCTTCCAGCTGAAGCAGGCGTCGAGCAGGTAGGTGGTGGACCCCGACTTGGGGTCGTTGGCCGCGAGGTCCACGTAGTGGAACGGGCCGGTCAGCGTCGCGTTCGCGCCCCGCGAGAGCGCGTGCGCGAGCGCGACGACGACGAGGTCCTGCCCGGACTGCGAGTGCGACATCTTGCCGCCAAAGGCCGCGCGCCAGTCCGGGCGGTGCGCCGCCGCCCAGCGCTTCACGGCGCCGCAGCCGCTCCACGGCGGCTCGTGAGTGGCCGTGTTTTTCGGGGGCTGTCTCGCGATCGGCGGCCGCGCGGGTGTCGGCGTTTCCGGCCGCTCCTGCGTGAAATAGGCCCGCGTCCGCGAGAGGAGCGACGAGCCGGCGAGCAGCGGGCTGCAACAGAGCAGCCGCAGCAGCCGATGAGAGGCCACCATCGTTGAGTATGAGGTGCAAGTCTAGTGCATGTTGAGGGATCTTCATACCTGAAGCTGACTGATCTCACATCTCCGATCAACATGGCCTCTGACAAGGCTGCAAATGCTGCAGCGTGCAAGACGGCCGCCGCACCATCATCGATGGCGCCCGGCTCGTCGTCGTGGCTGTCGACGGTCACGGTCGTGTCGACGCTGCGCATGCTGGCGACGATGAGCCTCGTGCCCGTGAACCCGCGCATCATCGCCGGCGTCACGGACGACGTCGCGGCGCACAGCGCGTCCATCTCCTTCTTCGGCGCCGTCGCCCAGCTGCTCGTGCTGCCGTCCTGCGGCGCGCTCAGCGACGCCGCGGGCCGGCGGCCCGTGCTCTGCGGCTGCGTCGCGGCGCAGCTCGGCGCCGTCGCCGCGCTCGCCGCGGCCCGCTACGGGTTCATCGGCGCCGCGCCGCTGCTGGCGTGCCAGGTGCTCCAGCAGGCCGCGGCCATCGTCGCGGCGGCGACGACGCAGGCGTCCATCGGCGACGCCGTCGCGCCGGCGGGCATCGCGGCGGCGACGGGGAGAGTGGCGGGCGCGAGCATGGGCGCGGGCATGCTCCTGGGCCCCGCCGTCGGCGCGGCGCTCGACGCGACGCTCGGCTTCCCCGGCGTCGCGGCGTTCGCGGTGGGCGCGCTGCTGTCGGCGTTCCTCGGCTACGCGCTGCTCCTGCCGGAGACGTTGAAGGTCCGGAAGGCGGCGGGCCCGAAGTTCAAGAACCCGGCGGCGTCGCTGCGCGTGCTCGCCTCGCCGGGGCTCGCGAGCCTCGCGGTCGTCGCGTTCCTGTCGGCGACGACGCGCGGCGAGCAGGCGGTCTACCACCCCTTCATGATGGAGCAGTGGGGCCTCGGCGCGTCGGGCATCGCCGCGGCCATGTTCGTCGTCGGCGTCGACGTGCTCCTCGCGCAGTCCCTGCTCGTCAAGCCCCTCGTCGCGACGCTCGGCGCGGGTGCCGCGCTCAAGGTCGGCCTCTTCGCCGCGGCGCTGCAGCGGTGCGTCTGGTACTTCGGGCCCGGCGCGCCCCTGCCCATGGCGCTGGGGCTGTTCCTCGGCGCGCCGGGCATCGGCGCCGACGCGTGCGTCCAGCAGCTCTCCGCGGCCGTCGTCGCCGAGCGGCGCGCCGCGGGCGACGCCGACGCGCCCGAGAGCGGCGCGCTCGCCGCGGCGCTCGCGTCGCTGAACACGCTCGCCGTCATCTGCTCCTCGAAGGCCTTCGCCGGACTCTACCGGGCGGGCAAGGCCGCGGGCGACCCCGCGCGGCCCTTCGCGCTCGGCGGCGCGCTCGCCGGGCTGGCGCTCCTCGCCGCGCTCCGCCTGCCGACGCGCGCGAAAGCGGACTAGCGACCTAGGTTCGCTGGCGCTTCGGTCCCCGGATGCGCGCGACGAGCTTCCGGTAGTCGCCGTCGTCGTCGCGCGTCGCCCGTTGGAAGGACATGGCGTTGCCGGACGTCACCACAACCGCGGCGACGCGGTGGACGGGCTTCCCCGCGCTTTCGTATTCGCCCTCGGTCTCCGTCTGGACGACGCGCGTCCCGACGACGAGCGGGCTCCGCGGCAGGAAGTCCGGCCCCGCGGCCCGTTGCCCGCCGGCCGCGACCCAGCGCCGCGCGCGCTCGTTCAGCGCGGCCTCGGGCGCGCCCGCCGCGCACGTGGGCCCCAGGGCCTCGGAAGCCTTCAGCACGCGCAGGCCCGCCGTCGCGGCGAAGACGTCGCGCGCGGCGACGGCGACGTCCTCGACGTTCGACGCGACGAGGATCGTCGTCTTGCCCGGCGTGCCCGCGCGGCGCGCGAGGTCGATCATGCGCGGCGAGGCCATGTACTTGGACGGCGCCGACGGCAGCTGCGCGTTGCGGCCCTCGGGCAGCGCCGGCGGCGTCGGGAACTGGAAGAGCACGCTCTCGACGGGGCCCGCGTAGCGCTCCCGGACCCAGTGCAGCGCGTCCTCGGCGGACGCGCGGACGATCTGGCAGCGGTCCGCGAGGCGCAGCCGCGCCGCCAGGGACCGCCCGTAGAGGAGCGCGTGCGCCGCGCGGTCGCAGGCCAGGACGTTGACGCGCCGCGTCCGCGCCGCGAGCGCCGCGGGCGACGCGGCGAAGCCGCAGCCGACGTCGACGACGAGCGGCAGGCTCCAGTCCGCGAAGGCCGGGGGCCAGGCCGCGCGCGGCGCGGCGCCGGACGACGCGACCTTCTTCCGCGACTTGCTGTAGGCCCAGAGCGCGCGCAGCGCGGGCGCGTCCCAGGGCCTCAGCCGCGCGCCGCCGAGCCGCCGCCACGTCGACCGCGCGAGCGGCAAGTCCGCGACGCCGCACCTGGCGCGCGCGGCGGCTCGCGCCGCCTTGTCCTTGATGGCGGGCGCGGCGTCGAGGAGCGCGCCGAGCGCGCGGAAGACGGCGTCGTCGTCGACGCCGGCGAGCGCGAGGGACATGGCCGCGTCCGCGATCTTCGCCGCGTCCCGGGCGCCGTGCTGCAGCACCGCGGCCACGTCGGCGCTCTGGCCCGCGCGCCGCGCGCGCAGCATCTCGAGCGCCGCGGCCTCCATGTCTCGTTCGGCGCTACTCACAGGCGCGCAGGGTCGAGCCCATCCTCTATCGAGATGCAGCACTGGCTTCAATAAGTCTTCAACGTCGGTCGCAGCCCATCGATGGAGCCCCAAAACCCAGCCTTCCAGCTGCCTGAAGCAGTAATGGGAGCGCCGACGACATCGAGCAGCATCCTCATTGCCGGGCTCGCCTGAAGCAAAGTGCCTAGGCATGGGATCCACAAGGTCGATCCCCTGGATAAGCGCCCCCACAAAGTCGATCCTAGCCACCGCAGCCCTCCTCGGCTGCCTGGTCTGGCTGCGCCCGAGCCCCGACAGGCAACCAGGCCTCTTCATGTTCGACCCCGTGCGCAAGGGCTACAAGCAGCGCGCTTACACGGAGGATGGGCGCCAACTCGTCGTCGAGACGCTCGCCGTGAGACCGAAACTCTTCCTCATCGAGGACTTTTGCTCCGCCGCGGAGGCCGACGCGTTGGTCGCCGCGTCCGCCGGACTCCTCGAGCCGTCGGGCACGCTGCGGAACGAGGGCGTCATCCGCGTCAGCGAGCACGCCTGGCTCGACCACGCGAAGGCGGGCGACGCGGCCTTCGATCTGTCGCGGCGAGTGGCCGCCGTCGCTCGCCTCCCTCCTTCGATGGTCCACGGGTCCGAGCCGGTGCAGACCGCGCGCTACGAGCCCGGCGGCCACTACTACCTGCACCTGGACACGGGGCGCAACCACGGCGTCGGACGCTACCTCACGTTGACGTTGTACTTGAACGACGTCGACGCCGGCGGCGAGACGTCGTTCCCGCTGGCGGACGACGGCTCTGTGAGCTTCACCGACGGCGACGCCGAGGAGGACGACGTCGCGACGATGCCGATGGGCTGGCGCGACGGCGACCCCGCGGCGCCGGACGGCGAGCCCTGGGATCTCTCTCGGGAAGCGAGCTGCCGGAGGAACGTGTGGGTGAGACCGAGGAAGGGCCGCGCCGTGCTCTGGTACAACCACGAGCCGATCTCGAATCCCGACCCGGCGAAGTGGACGGAGCTCGGGCCCCTGGACCGCTACGCTTTGCACGGCGGCTGCGACGTGCGCGCGCCGGACACGAAGTGGATCGCCACGGTCTGGATCAACCCGCCGGGCTGGGCGCCCGGCAGCCTCACGAAGGCGCGGAAGAAGCGGCGCGTCGCGACGGCGAGCGGCGCGCGCGGCGCGTCCCGCGCGAGCTTCCGGAGGGAGCACCGGTAAGTCCGACTCTAAATAGCCCGCACCGTTAAAAGGCCCTAGCTCGGCGCGCCCGCCGCCTCGTACTTCTTCTTGATGGCCTCGAAGAGCGTCGGCACGTCGACGCCGGCCGTCTTGTACTTCTCGATGAGGCCGTCGACGTCCTTGAGCTTTGAAGGGTTGTGCGCCTTGTAGAACCTGGGCAGCAAAAGGGTGATTCAACGTTGCTTCAACGTGAGTGTTCCGCGCGCGCGCGTTCCAAAAAAAAGCATCCACGCGTCGAGACCGTTCCGAGAGATGATCGCTCGTCCAAAAATCAGCCAAAACGAGTGGAAAACGGCCGAGATATGAGCCTTTGAAGTTGGGAATTTCGCTCTCTTTTGCTGCCCTGTGTAGAACTCGATGATGCCCGCCTTCGCCAGCGCGTTCAGGTTCGCCTGGGGGTCCTCGGGCGCGCCGAAGAGCGTCATCTCCACGGACTCGGACATGCGGCGCATGCGGCTCTTGGGCTTGTGGTCGTCGATGTACTTTTGCCGCGCGCCGTTCGTCTTCGCCTGCTCGACGAAGGCCGTGAAGGCCTGCTCCCACTTGTCGATGGACGCGTCGTCCTTGTCCCCGTCCTTGGGCGCCTGCCGCAGCTCGACCTTTTTTTTCTCGTCGATCCAGAGCCGCACGACCTTCCGGCCGTCCTTCATCTTCGTGTCGACCTTCTCGACGCTTAACAGGTTCATGCTCGCGTGGGGCGCGTCCTCGACGCCGTCCTGGTCCTCCAGGTAGTAGCACAGGATCGTCGAATGGACGTAGAAGCCGTGGGCCTTCCAGCTGCCGTCGCCGGAGCGCTTCTCGAGGCGCCCGTTCATGATGTCCTTGCGCGGCGCCTTCTTGCCGTTCTTCGGCGCGGCCGCCGGCGCCGGCGCCTCATTCGCGGGCGCTGGCGCCGGCGCCGAGCCGAAGAGCCAGGTAGCCATTGCTTCCAAGGGGCTGCCAAGCCGTAAGTGCGGCAACATTGAAGGCCTGCATCCAGTCCTCGCCATCGAACTCGCCGCCTTTACACGCGGCCGTGCGCGCCGAAGCCATGCGTTCCCTCCTGCGCCTCGCGCTGCTGGGCGTCGCGTGCCGCGCGGTGGACAAGAGCAAGTTCCGCACGTGCCAGGACACGCGCTTCTGCCGCGTCCACGCGCGCCCGGCGGCGCCGCCGCCGACCTACGCCGTCAACGACGCCTCGGTGGCCATGGCCGACGGCGCGCTGCGCTTCGAGGTGTCCGAGGGGACCCTCGCGCCGCTCGTCGTGACCGTGCTGCCCCACGCCGACGCGGGCGTCGTCAACGTGCGCGTGACGGAGGCCGGCGTGTCGCGCTGGGAGCCCGACGACGTGCTCCTCGGCCCCTTCGCGCTCGACGGCGACGCGAAGCTCTCCAAGACCCCCGCGGGCGCGACCCTGACCCTCGGCGGCGGCGGGGCCGTGGCCGTGACCTACGCGCCCTTCACGCTGTCGCTGGGCCCCGCGGGCGGCGACCCGCTGATCGTCGTCAACGGCAAGGACCTGCTCCACTACGAGCGCGGCCGCGCGGCCGCGGCCGCCGCGCCGTCCCTGGGCGACCCCAGCGGCGGCGACGCCGACTCCCACGGCTGCGAGGACGGCTTCGCCTGGAACGGGGAGCGGTGCCTCGAGATCGCGGGCTACTGGGAGGACGGCCTCGCGCGCTTCGCCGACGGCACCAAGGAGGTCAAGACCTACAAGGCGGCGGAGGTCGCCAAGGACGACGGCGACTTCTCCGAGACCTTCAGCGGCCACACGGACGACGTGCCCAACGGGCCCATGTCCGTGGGCGTCGACGTGTCGTTCCCCGGGTCGAAGGCGCTCTTCGGCTTGGCCGAGCACGCGTCGCAGTTCGCGCTCAAGAAGACGACGGGCGGCGGCGGCTACGACGAGCCCTTCCGCTTCTACAATTTGGACGTCTTCGAGTACGACCTCGACGTGCCCATGGCGCTCTACGGCACGATCCCGCTCGCGTGGGCCGTCGCGCCCGGGCGGGAGAAACACTCGACCGTCGGCGTCTTCTACGACAACCCGACGGAGACCTACGTGGACGTCGGCGCCGGGCCCGACGACACCAATTGGGACCTGCACTTCGTGTCCGAGTCCGGCGTCCTGAGCCTCTTCCTCATCCTCCCGGAGACGCCGCTCGACGGCTTCGCGAAATACGCGGCGCTGACGGGCGCGCAGGAGCTGCCGCCGCTCTTCGCGCTGGGCTACCACCAGTGCCGCTGGAACTACAAGGACGAAAAGGACGTCGCGGCGGTCCACGGCCAGTTCGAGGCGTTGGATATTCCCTACGACGTGCTCTGGCTCGACATCGAGCACACGGACGGCAAGCGCTACTTCACGTGGGACGCGAACCTCTTCCCCGACCCCGCGACCATGCAGGACACGCTCGCGAAAACGGGGCGGAAGATGGTCACCATCGTCGACCCCCACATCAAGCGCGACAACAACTACGACGTCCACAAGAAGGCGACGGACGCCGGATTGTACGTCAAGGAGCGGAAGCACGGCGAATTGAAGGACTTCGAGGGCTGGTGCTGGCCCGGGAGCTCGTCCTACCTCGACTTCACGGCGGCCCACGTCCGCCAGTGGTGGGCGGAGCGCTTCTCGCTGGCGAACTACGGCGGGTCGACGGCGAACCTCTACACGTGGAACGACATGAACGAGCCGTCGGTCTTCAACGGGCCCGAGGTGACCATGGCGAAGACGCTCGTCAACCTGGGCGGCGTCGAGCACCGCGAGTGGCACAACCTCTACGGCATGTACTTCCACCGCGCGACGGCCGAGGGGCTCATGCTCCGCGATTCGAAGGAGAACAAGCGGCCGTTCGTGCTGAGCCGCGCGTTCTACGCGGGGTCCCAGCGCTGGGGCGCCATCTGGACGGGCGACAACGCCGCGCGCTGGGACCACCTCAAGGTCGCGTCGCAGATGCTGCTGTCCATCTCGGTCTGCGGGCTGAGCTTCGCGGGCGCGGACGCGGGCGGCTTCTTCGGCGATCCCGACCCCGAGCTCATGGTCCGCTGGATCCAGGCCGCGGCCTACACGCCCTTCTTCCGGGGCCACGCGCACCACGACGCGAAGCGGCGCGAGCCCTGGTCCTTCGGCGAGCCCCACACGGCCCGCATGCGCGGCGCCATCGCGGACCGCTACGCGCTCCTGCCGTACTGGTACACGACGTTCGCGGCCGCGCGGTTCGCGGGGCTGCCGGTCATGCGGCCGTTGTGGGCGCACCACGCCCACGACGCGGACGCTTTGCTGGTTGGCGACGCCTGGCTCGTGGGCGAGGATTTGCTCGTGAAGCCCGCGACGGACGCGGGCGTCTCCACGGTCGACGTCTATTTACCAAAGGGGACGACGTGGTTCGAGACGCACACGGCCGCGATGACGAAGCGCAGCGGCGGCGTTTTAGCGAAAGGCGTGCCCGCGCCCCTCGACGGCACGGCGCCGGCGCTCCAGCGCGGCGGGTCCATCATCCCGCGCCAGCGGCGCCTCCGCCGGTCGACGGCCGCGATGCGGTCGGACCCCTACGAGCTCACGGTCGCGCTCGACGACGCCGGCGAGGCGTCGGGCAGCCTCTACCTCGACGACTTCGAGACCTTTGGCTTCACGGGCGGCGCCTTCCACAAGTCGGTCTTCACCTTTGCGGGCGGCAAGCTCTCGGCGAACGCGGGCAACGACTGCGACGCGCGCGCGGCGGCGCTCGGCATCGCCGCGGACGCGGGCAGCTTCGCGCCGACGAATGTCGTCGAGCGCGTCGTCGTGCTGGGCCTCGCCGCGCCGCCGACGGCCGTGTCGCAAAGTGGGAAAGCCGTCGAGTTCGCGTGGAACTCCGAGGCTTCCTCGCTCGTGCTCCGCGCGCCGAACGTCGCCGTCGCCGGCGCCTGGGAGATCGCGCTCACCTTCTAGGGGCGGTCCTCGTGCCCCCGGCGAATCGCCCCTAACACCCGGGCTTTTAGAGGGGCTCCCAGACGTACCACTGGTCGAGGACGAAGCACCAGTCCGCCGCGCGGCCGCGGTCCTTGAAGGTGAAGGCGTCGTCCACGGGCGGCGGGTCGCCGTGGGACCGCGCGTGGCGCGTGAGGATGAGCGTCCGCGAGTCGAAGGGGTCGACGCGCCACTTGAGCTGGCGGATGTTTGACCGGAAGAACTCGCCCGCGTCGTCGGGCGCGCCCGGGAAGCCCGCGTCGCGTTTCACGGCGACGACGACGTCGACGACGTAGGGCTCGTGGTGGGCGGAAATCTCCATGACCACGGGCTGGGCCGGGTAGTTGCACTCGTCCGTGTCCGGCGGGATGTCCTCGTCGAACTCCGGGTCGACGACGCGGATCGGCCGCGCGAAGGGCCAGAACGGCTCCTCCTCGCGCGCCTGCAGGCGGCTCGCCTCCCTCAGGAGGCGCGGCGCCCGGGCGACGTGGTCCCGGCGGCGGCAGACGTGGCAGACGTCGCAGGCCACGCGCAGGTGCTCGTCCATCGCGGGCTTCGACTTGCGCCGCGCCGCGCGGTCGCCGCCCCACGCGTAGACTTTGCCGTCTTTCGCCGCGGCGAAGGAGCGGTAGCGGCCCGCGGCGACGGCGACGACGTCGACGCCCCGCAGGCCCGGGATGCGCCGCGGGAACGGCAGGTCCGCGTGGTCCGGGTGGCCGTTGCGGTAGCCGCAGCCGTGGCCGAAGCAGTCGCCGCGGTCGTCGACGAGGAGCGTGTGCTGGTGGCCCAGGGACAGGGACGACACGCCGTTCATGCGCACGCGCGCGGGGCGCAGGCGATCCTCGGCGTCGCCGACGCCCAGCTTCCCGTGCTTGCCCTCGCCGAACGCCATCGTGATCGCGCCGTGCTTGCCGTTTGCGTCGCAGCACAGCGCGAGCGTGTGCGCCAGGCCGCCGCCGACGGCGCAGACGTTCGAGTTCGCCAGGGCGTCCACGAGTTTGGGCCGCGGCACGTCGTCCTCGTCGCCGTGGCCCAGCCGCCCCGCGGCGCCCTTGCCTGGGCAGGAAAAGGGTGCGAAATTCCCAACTTCAAAGGCTCCTCTCTCGGCCGTTTTCCACTCGTTTCGGCTGATTCTTGGACGAGCGATCATCTCTCGGGACGGTCTCGACGCGTGGTTGCTTTTTCCGGAGCGCGCGCGCGCGGAACACTCACGTTGAAGCGACGTTGAATCACCCTTTTCCTGCCCTGGCCCTTGCCCCAGGTGTAGCAGTCGCCGCGGTGGCTCGCCGCGGCGAAGTGCTCGCTGCCGCAGGCGATGGCGCGGATGCGCACGCCGATGAGCGCGTCCACGGCGCGGGGCGTGTCCTCGTCGACGGCGCAGGCGTAGAGCGCGCCGGCCTCGGAGAGGAGGAGGAAGTCCGTCCAGCCCGCGGCGACGACGCGGACGACGTACGGCGTCGGGTGCATGCGCAGCGGCGACAGGAGGAGCGCGTCGTCGCGCGCCTCGCCGTGCCACAATTTGTAGGCCGTGCCGTCGCCGCCGACGACGACGCTGTGCGTGCGGCCCGACGCGACGAGGTGCGCGTGGCGGAGCGTCGCGTTTTCTATCGTCCGGCTCCGGCGCCGCTCGCGGACGTAGACGGCGCGCCGCGCCGCCTCGTCCGCGAAGGGCGTCGTCGCCCGCGACCCCGGACCGAGGAAGTTGTACTCGTGGCCCGGCTCGCTCTCGCAGCCAAAGGGCACGCGGCCCCGGATCCGCAGGAACGCCTCGTCGTCGATGGCGACGCAGAACGCGTCGTCGTCGAGCTCGCTGCAACCCAGCACGGTACGCCCGCCGACACACGCCACCTCGCCGTCCTTGCCCGTCGTCCACTCCAGGCGCAGCGCGTCCATCCTAGGTTTAGGCAGCCTCGATCATCGCGGCGCTGGGCAGCGTTCAACACGTAAAGATGCGTAAACATTTCCCTGTCGAGAAGCCGGTTGGGACTCAGGCTGCGACGCTGCCAAGCGCTTGCATGCTTCGGCGGGCCATGAAGCCGTCGAACGAGTCCAAGGGCGGCCTGCGCGGGTCCGTGTCGTCGGGCATCAAGCGCCTCTGGCGGTCCATCCCCGCGGCGCGGCCCAAGGGCGACGCGCCGCCGCCCGCCGACGAGGAGGCGCCGGCGGCGCGCGCCGGCGCGCCGACGCCCCGGGCGGAGCCGGAGAACGTGGAGCCGCCCCCGAAGGAGGCCTTCGAGCGCGCGGCGGAGCGCGTGTCGCGGGAGGCGCGGTCCGCGGCGGAGGCCGAGGACGCCAAGGCCGAGCGGACGCGGCAGCGCGTCGAGCGGAAGCGCGCGCGGAACCGCAAGCGGCCCCCGGGCGGCGGCGAGGACGCGGCGGCGCTGCGCGCGGCGAAGGCGCTCCTCGACGGCGGCGACGTCGAGGCGGCGCGCCGCGCCTTCAAGGACCTGCGGGACCGGGGCGTGCGCGCCGCGTCCGCGGGCCTCGTGGAGTGCGCGCGGCGCCGGCGGTCCGGCGACGCGACGCCCCGGGGCGCCGAGGCGCCCCGCGAGGCGCCGCGGGTCCAGGCGACGCCGCGGGAGCGGCCGCGGTCGTCGTCGGGGTCGCCGGGCCGCGACATCCCCGAGGTCGTCGCCCGCGCCAAGGCCAAGGGCGACGAG